AAATTCAAGTTTTGCTGCAGCAGCATTTACACTGCACGTTTATGTCTCTGTCAAAGGTCTCAGTGCAGTTTAGCGGGAGGACTGGTCAGGTAGGGTCAGCAGATCTGTGTCAGGGCAGTTTGAGGAGAGGAAGAGCCAAAAGCATCCAGAAGGAGTCTGGTGAACAAAACAGGAAAAGCCTCACTCTTACCCCACTCTGGTGTTTCAGTTGATGATGAAATGGTTCATTCCTTCAAAGTATTTCATCTAGAAGGTCTCAGAGTCTTTCCTCTGGAAGGTCTGCTGACACATTTGCTGCCACATATGGTGTGAACAGCCTATAGCATCTCAAATATCCATAGCTAGCTAGTAGGATAGATGCATTTATATTTGGAAAGGGAGTGGTAAAATAAGGGAAATGCAAAATTATGCTGTATTATAACCAAAGCTAGTCCAGTCTTGAATTCCACAACAAGCCTATATTGTATACCTATACATTGCTGCTCTGTGATTGCCCACTTGTCCAAACTGCATGCTGCTGCGCCAGACATCTTCTAATCAGCTCTCACAGAAACAGAGGAAGAAGCAGATCAATATTTACTGAAAGCCCTCTGCAGTATAACAGATGTGTTTGCAATCTCTGTCCGGAGTGTGTACTGTGTGTGTGGTGGATATACCTTGGCCGTGACCGGGCCCATTGAGGGGTGGCAGCAGCAGCAGCGAGAGGAGGAGGAGGAGGAGGATGAAGTTCCAGGCAATCACGCAGACAGGCGGGAGGGCCCTGTATAGTGTAAACATGTTTTAAATAAACAGGAACCAGCGTAATGCCCTTTTAATTGATTCATTCTGTGCTTGGCTGTTTACAGAAGGGGCTAAATATGAGTCTCGGCCTTGTGTTTATAAGTGGAGTGTTTAGTTCGAACAATAACAGTTTGAAGCGAGCGCTGGATCCTTGGTTGTGTTAGAGGCTTTTCTCTTGCGTGTTTCATTATATTCTGCATATGCTGGGACAAAAAAGAACTTAAACCAAATAGCATTTGTCTCCGCAGAAGCCCAGTCTCCTCTTTACACTTTTGGTGCCTGTACGTGTTACTGAAGTTGAAGTTGCAGCCACAGTGTAATGATATGGTGGCAGAACATTGAAGGGTATACTCCAAAGGAAGGGAGGGAGGGGGCAGTAATTAAACATATGCACACATAGAAAGCGAGCTAAACACATCCAAGTGGGCTAGTAAAAGCTAATGAAGGCTCAGTGCTATAGGCTGGCACACACAGCCATTTCATGTGGTGAGGAGGAGAGGAGGAGGACCAGGCCAGGCTGGGGCGCAATAAGCCACCACTGATTCCACAACGAATGGGGCACAGTACAGGATAAGCTATAATTGACACCATGCAAGAGTGCGGTTTTGCAATATAGTTTGTTGAAAGGTCTACCAAATCATTGTCTCTGTGATGGAAAAGACAAACAATGGAATTAACACATTTGCAGATCACAAACCATAAAACAGAACAGAAGTAAGGAAAAGAAGATCTACAGTGATCCAGTGACAAGAATTAGACATGATGACAGAAGTATGTCTGTCACGATAACAAACTCTGAAGCATGATCTATTGCTACAGAGAAATATTGCGATAAACTATATTATTGAAACTACTTTATGCCACTGACACAAAGCAAGACAATCCCGGTTAACATTTTTTTAATATACAGTATCATTAAAAAGCATGAGCTGCAACAAATAACTAGCAGAAGAAGAATCAGTAATTAGCCATAAGAGTTACTTATTCAAACCCTCTAAAGTTAAAATCGTATCATATTACAACAAAAAATAATAAAAATCACCCCATTATTGCAAAGAAAAAGTTCCCAAGATAAATACTAAGCCCAAAAAATATATTGTTCCAGCTTGATAAGTACAGGCCAGGTTTGCTAAATAACTATACAGTTTTATAGAAGATAGCAGTATGGTGTTCTCAAGGACTAATTAGTTAATGCTGGCTATTATTTAGTTTGTGGCACCATAATTGTTCATTCTCATTTTGTTAAAATTGTATTATTTCTTAAAATATGCTAAGCTCTTCATCACTATCATTCCTGGTTATAGCCTAAATTAGTAAATACTAAAGCAGAAGTGATGAAACGAATTATGGAAAGTAAACTAACGATAAAACTTATCAAAGACATAATTTTTTAGAAAATAGTACTATCTATCTATCTATTTATCTATCTAGCTGGGTGTTTTGGCTATGTATACTATTTCATCATCAAAACTAATCTAGTTATGGTGGGTAAGGAAGTATTAATCACTTCTCAGTACATACAGGTGATGTAAGGGGCTTGCCTCTCATATGTGCATGCGGTGTGCTGGAAATCTGTTAAACTTTGAGTAGTTTTTCTTTGAGATCTTTGGGCTCCACATGTTGCAGCCTGCTCGGTTCAAGCAAACATATGACTTTTCTAAAGGGTCCAATAAAAAGGGGAAAAAAGAAACATTGGTGGGTTCGGGGGATTAATCTCCAAAGCACACTAACACATTTCTGCCCTATTCATGGTCTGTGGTTTCAACTGGTGTTCCCTTAAAGAGGCTGTATATGTGGGCCTGCTGTATCTCAATCCAAGCTTTTTATGATGCTTAGAAAGGAACAAATGTTAGAATAGATTTTATTGAGCAATTTATAGACACTGTTCTAGATGTATTTTAATTTGCTGCAAGGTTTCCCATAAGCATTTAAATTCATTGTGCACTAGTAATGAACTTAAACCTTAAAGAGAAAATAGATATCACGTTGACGTAAGCACCAATACAAAGGCTGCATCATGCACCATGCCTTGGAAGCTTGGGTTCATTGTCTTATTTATTTACTTCAGTCTTCTCTTAAAACGGTACAGTTGTATCCCTTGCCCAAACTTGGTCACCAGCCTAATTAAAAACACAAATTAAATACTCTTCAGTGGATATTCACTGTGACTGTAGCAGCTGCCACACAGACTAGCACCCAAACAAGAAAAAAGGTCGAATCAGACAGCTGGGAAAACATAGGTGGCCACTGGCACACTGACAAGTGTTTGTGGCAGGTCCCAAAGGTGAATAAACCACTTAATGAAGCTTAACCGTAAGCGCGCTCTATATGAGGGCTTTTCTTAAATGATCGTCCAGAAACCAAAATGGGTCACTGGCATGTTTCGGTGGAGGCATCCATGCCAAGAATACTAATAGGCCTATGGCCTAATGAGAGAGCCTTCCAGACGCACACTTACTTGACTGGACATTTTTGCATTCCTCTTGCAGCTCAATCTGATGCAATTCTCTTTTTTTTTTTTATTTTATACAACAAGGCAATTTAACGAAAAGGCATACATTTTCTGCTGCCACTCCATGTGTTAACTTGCCTTGTTTTGTAGCGTTTTTCAATTCAGGCAGTTGATGCACAATGCTGTTAGAAGATACAGCGCCCTCTGCTGGCAAACGTGTACAGTGCAACAGCTCTGTACTACTGAAACTATGCCTACTTCTCATGTAAGTCTTCCAATAATAAAGAAAAAAAAAACATTATAACCAACTAATACTGATGTCATATTTGTCCCTCTTCAATATTAGCAATGTTTTATTTTCTGTAGTACGATATGTTTTCGGGAGAATGGAAAAAACACAATTTAAACACACTCAGGTCCAACACTTGACCTCTCTCTCCAAATCAACCAACCACTTACAGCAGTAACCAGCATATGTGCCTACTGACATATGATGACATTGTTTTCTTAACTGTAATCTAATCTTCTCATAAAGTGTATGAGACAGACAATTTCAATGAATCTGCATAGCTAGTAAGTGAAATAAAATTTGTAAGATAGGCTATCTGTCAGCACTCAGCAGGCAGCAGGAAAGCCACACTGACTTGTATTCAATTGAAATTAAACTGATTTCAGGATTCCTTAACAGAAGCCTATAAAAATAAGTCAATAACATACATTATTTTGTGCTTGATGCTTTATTTGAAAAAGTAAATGTGAGTGGCTGGCTCTGTAAAGGCAGTTGATCAAAACATACAGTGAAACAATTAAAACATGTTGTCTGTGAATTCAAGAAAAATAGGCTACTTAGATCATAGTGGAGCATGAGAAGCAGGGGGAAAAGGAGCTGAGAGAGAGAGAGAGCACTGAAGGCAACAGGAGCATTTGAGGCACAGAAGGGTGCAGGAGGGAGGGGGGAGGAGGAGGGGAATACCACCCACTAAGCCAGTTGTGGAGAAGTCCTGGGGGTTGGGCCGCTCACAGGAAACAGTTGTGGCTCCATCCCAGGCCTCACACCAAGCAGCTCGGGGCCACCCAGTCACTGACAGACAGACCCACCAAATGGTCTGGCCCGGCCAACTGACATGGGTTTGTTTATTTTTCATCCTTTAGTGGTGAGGGGGAAAATTGTTCGACACAAGCTGTTTATTAGACCTTTGATTGTCATGTCATGTGTCTATGTTCACTAGTCAGGTATATGCCAATAGAAAAGCCTGACATGAACAGAAATATAGGAGCTTTGCAGGGATAAAAAGAATGGCTGGTGAGATTAAGTACAAATTAACACTATTATAGAATGGTTTAGTCTATAATTCAATGTTAAGTTTATGTTGTTGCTGTCAAACAGTGCATTTTGCCGTCTATGTGGAAATGCTATAAGAATAAATATTATAATACAATAAGTTAAATATAGATAGGCTAATAATCATAAGCTTAGTAAAAGTAGTGGGATAAAAATCGAATTAGATACAAACACGGACAGAATAAAATGCAAAGCTAGTAGTGCAAATACAGCAGAATAAGTACAGTTTTTTTTCAAGGTTTAAATCAAACTGAACTGCCAAACCCCCAAATAATCAGATAAACAACGGATGTGCAACCACGCGGGCATTCTTAAAAAGATCCAGGAGATGGCGCTATAACACCAACATGACACCCGGAAAAACGTCAGAGCGGCACGAACCAATCAGATTTATAACGTCCGGAAATCACTAGTTTGAATCTAGGGGCGGTGTTAACTTATATTACTGAGTGAGTTTGGATTTGTACCGATGTGTTTTGAAATATAATACAAAATAGCTAACAGTTACATTTAACATCTAGCGTATATTTTAACAAAACAACTAGAAAGAGTCGCGGCTGGATCACGTTTGACACCGCAGCGCTAAGGAGCAGAAATGGACACTAGTTTGTACAAATACCTCGTCGGGCGATCTGTAAACATAAGTCGCAGTGATGGTAATGTGCTTTATTCTGTACTTTCTAAGTGTTGTGTGTTATAATACCTTTGTTATTCACGATCACATTCTACCTGCTTTGTTGAACCATTCAGGTCGCATCCATTTGGCCACCGTCAAAACCGCTGATACTGCCAAGTGCACTGCTATGGTGGAGTGGCAGGAGAAAGGCAGCTACAGGGGCAAAGAAGTTAGTAACATAATATGGATTAAAAACTATTACATCTATTACGTATTAATTTCTATACTGATTTCTATACTAATGTCACATACTGATCACAACAATACATAATACCATATATTAACTGAAACTAGACACCTGTACAGACTGATCTTGTAATATTTTTGTTTGTTGTTCCTAGGTTGAAGTTAGCGAATTGTGTGCTCTTAACCCCGAATTGTTAGAAATTGAAGCTGAAAACAAGAAGGCTCTATCTTCTGCTCCAGATAAGGTTGGTACACATTAAAATCATCTATATTTTGATATATTTAGCATAGTGTTTTGAATGCATTAAACAATTTGTCTTCTTTGTTACTGATGACTTTGTAGAAGTATGAGGGTCGCTTGCGGTCATCCAGGATCCCAGCTCCTGCCTCTTGTATGTATACAAACTACTACACTGAGATCTGTTTCTTAATGCCTTTGTTTAATATCACAATATTCATTCACCAGCTTCTCTTTCTGCAAAACCCTCTGCTCCTGCAGTGGTCAAAGTTGAAGAGGAAGGTTGGCAATACTTGTACTTAAATGTGCCAATGATTTTTATAGTTTTTTAAATGATCTTCTGCATGTGCTGTATGGGGTGTAGTGGCACAGTTTTAACCTGATCTTTTTATAATTAAAGGGACATAGTGTGGAATTTTTTCCTCAGATTCTTCTTGTGATTTTCTATCCACACTATTCTACATTTTAATTTTAAACTGTATTTCCACACACTGTTTCTTTGAGTCTAGAGTACATTTTGACTAATATTCTTGGGTGCACAGTTGTGTTTTCCCTAATCAACAGGTTTAAATGGATGATAAAGTCATTCTAATTGTCTAATTACTTGGTCATGTAACTTAATGTTTTGGGTCAAAGCTGTTATTCACAACATTTTAATTGTGTCTGCTTTCAGTTAGGACTCAGGCCAGACAGACCTGTCATTTTCAGGCCACAGCCCCTTCTACAACATTGGCCTCAAATACTGGCTCATCCTTTAAATCTGAGCTGTCAGCTGCTGGTGGCACAGTAAATGCAGGTGAGTTTTTGAAGTGCTTCAGCATAGTGTGTCATCTGTTTGGAGAATGTACTGAGCAAGACTATTTGTGTTTGGTATATTGTTTGAACACATAACATTAATATTTATTGTTTTCCTAATGCAGCCAGTTGTAACCAGCGTCGTAAAAAGAATGAAACTAAGCCAATGACTTCATTGGCTGAAGCTCGTGAGGCTGTAAAAGAAAATGATGAACCTCCCCAGCCTGCCAAAGGTAATTTGCATGCTCATGTTTTATATGTACAAATGGAACATTTTTGTTTCATTTTAAAAATCTTTAGAGAAAAGGGTTTTATAACCTTATCAAATATTCCTTGCAATTGAAGGTAGAAGAAAAAGTGTAGCTCCCCAAGAACTAAACAAGGCCAATAAACGTATGTCTTGTGTTGTTAAGCCACCTGAAATGCAACCAAAAAGAGGAAAGGTTGGTTGACAATCTGCATATGTAAATTTGTAAAATGGTGTTATTGATTTTTTTTCTTCTTTTACAATTCAGTTTGGAGAACCAACTAGGCCCAATCAAAAATTCTACGAAATGATCCAAGAATTCAGAGAAACTTTGGAAATAACTCCAATGTCACCCTCTGAAGTGGTAAATTGTTTGTTATATATTAATTAACACATAAAGACAATTTTCTAAAATGCCTTTGTTTACAGATTGAGTCTCACAGGATTTGCGTCTGTGTTCGCAAAAGGCCTCTGAACAAACAAGGTGCATTGTGAATGTGTTTTATTTTCTCAGACATGATTTTGAGTTTTTTTCTTACTAATCTTGTTCATTTCATCTTTTCTTTTCTAAAAGAGATGAATAAAAAGGAGATAGATGTTGTGTCTGTACCAGGCAAAGGAGCTCTTTTGGTCCATGAGCCAAAACAGAAAGTGGATCTCACCAAATATTTGGACAACCAAGTCTTCCAATTTGATTATTCTTTTGATGAGAGTGCTACCAATGACCTGGTTTACAAGTAATCAACTCTGATCAATATTTAACATTTAGATATTGTCATACTCACTCCCCTGTAATAATAAGCTTATTGTAACTGTTTAATTCATCCTTTTCAGGTTTACAGCTAAACCTTTGGTTAAGTCCATATTTGAAGGAGGTATGGCAACATGTTTTGCATATGGTCAGACTGGAAGTGGAAAGACTCATGTAAGATGCATGGATTTCATTTCACATTTATACATTTCACATTTGTAAAAAAAAATTTTTCTACCTTGAATACAAGACAATGGGAGGAGACTTCTCCGGCAAGCAGCAAAACTGTGCTGAAGGAATCTATGCTTTTGCGTGTAAGTTTAATGAACTTGATAAGAACATTTATAAGGCAATGTTTTGTTTTTTTGTTTTTTTACATTTAAAATAAATGAGTTGTCTTTTAGCTCGGGATGTCTTTGCTTATCTCAACCACTGGAGAAACACAGATCTGGACGTGTGTGTTTATGTGAGCTTCTTTGAGATCTACAATGGCAAAGTATGTTTCGATTTCAATATTTCCGGTTTATGAAATTGCGGTAAAAATGTTATCTTACCATCTACCACTTTTAATTTTAGGTGTATGACCTGCTGAACAAAAAGGCAAAGCTTAGAGTATTAGAAGATGAACGGCAGCAGGTCCAGGTGGTGGGACTGGAAGAAGTTTACGTGAACTCAGCTGATGAAGTCATCAAACTGATACAGGCGGGCAGTGCGTGCAGGTACAAGTCATCATGTTTGCCTTGTTCAAATTAACTTCTGTAGAAATGTCGTAGCATTCTGGTGTGAGGAAACACTGTGAAGTTCTTTGGTTTATGGACTACAGTAGCCCTTATGTTCAGAAAATAAACAACCAATCAAAAACAAGCACTAAACAGCATCAGTCTCAACTCAGCAGAGCCAGTCACATCAACTTGTTGGCATAGCAACCAAGTTTCACATACAAAAGCACATTAACAACAACACCTTAACAATTACAAAAACAACAAAAGACGTCAACCCTGAGCTAACTTTTATATAACAAAAAATACAACAAATTCTTTGAGTTCATGCTGTGTATTAAAAATGCTCCTGTTTTGCCCCACAGAACATCAGGGCAGACATCAGCCAATGCGAACTCCTCTCGGTCTCACGCCATCCTTCAGATTACCCTACGTCGTAATGATCGACAATACACACTGCATGGCAAGTTTTCTCTGGTGGATTTGGCTGGTAATGAGCGTGGTACAGATGTCAGCAGCAATGACCGCAGCACTTTGGTTGAGACAGCAGAGATCAATCGCAGTCTCTTGGCTCTCAAGGTTAATAATTACTGATATATTTGGTCTTGCTATATCAAAATGAGTACATAAAAATAATGTATTCTTATTTAACTGACTGTTTTTCAGGAGTGCATTCGTTCGCTTGGAAAAAACAGTGATCACATTCCTTTTCGAATGAGCACTTTGACCAAGGTCCTCAGGGATTCCTTCATTGGGGAGAAGTCCAGAACCTGCATGGTTTGTGGAGGTCACACTTTTAAAGGCTCAAAAAGACATATTTTAAACAATTTTTTTCCTCCATAGATTGCCATGGTGTCTCCAAGCATGGCCTCCTGTGAATATACAATGAACACACTTCGATATGCAGACAGGTACAGCAAAATTGTATAACGATGCCTAAATTCTTAAAATTCTTATCAACCTATAAAGCCATCCTGGTGCATTTGCTCTTAACTTGTGACAGGGTAAAAGAACTAAATGGAAATTCCAAATGCAGTGGCATTGCAAAGGCCGGAGACTCTCCAGATAGCTCATCAGAGGTACAATTGTACACTTAATGTAAAAACGTTTTACAAGGCTTAAATACTGTTTTCTCATCAGGAATCTGCCATTGATACAAGTGTGTATGATGCTATATCCCAAGTAACGGAACTTGAAGAGAAGGTTTATGTAGAGTTGCAGGTAAACCCTGTTATATTTTATAGATCTATTTAATTCTTTGCATTTATCACTAGAGGCTGTATGTATTGTTTTTTCAGAAAGCAAGTGGTCTGGTTGTGGCCATGCAGCAGACCTCCTATAATATTGATACAGGACTTCCCGACATAATGAGTTATTCTCAGAAGTTGATGGGTTTGTGGATTACTTGACAGTGTTCCTTTGTGTTTGGTGCATATTCAATTTAAGGCTCTTAAATGTATTTATCTGTCATTTGTAGACACCGTTTTGGCGCTGAAATCTGCCGTTGATCAAGAAAGAATGGCAAGGCTCAACCATTGAACAGCTTTTAATCACACTTTGTTTTATCAGGTCTTGTTTAGTTATATTAACTTTTTTTTTTTTTTTTATTATTAACATGTATTAATAAAAATGTTAAACACTATCTGTATATTACATTGTTTTGGTATGTGCAGGTTTTATTCACTGTTGCACATGAATGTTTTGACTGTAAATAAATGGGAAAAGACTAAAATGTGCTTACTGGTATGTGATATGTAAATTTTTGCATATTTTTCATTACAAATACATTTAAATAGGCAATACAACATTGTCATAATATTGCACCTCTCCAACTGGCTTACGTGTCCTGGCTTCGATGAAAATGTTCCTTTGGTTATAATACTTTCATTTATGGCTTGAATTTGAAGGTCCTATATGACACTAAACTGACTTGTGAGTTTTAAGCCATGTATAATCTTGAAGGTGTATGGAGTTTAAAAACACAGCGGACCTTTTCCTGTATTAACCCTTGACGTCACAGGGTGGAACAGTTTTATGTTTGAGTACCACTCATTCTAAATATGCAGAATTTGCCCTTTAATTAATGGGCCCATATAATGCTATTTTATTTAACTTTCTATGTGCTAGGAAACATGTAACTAGGTACGTGGTATTGCTTTAAAGAAAATAATTAAGGCGATGTAAAGCAATGGACAAATCTCAAATAAACAGTGATTTTGCATTAGAGCATTTGTCGCTCTTGCCCACTAGGCGCCGCCGTGGAGCTGCCGGAGTAGAGTCAGAGCGTGATTGGCCGGAAGCATAAACAAGGGAGGGACCAACCACAGTCTATGGGACCAACCGAACATTCACGTCAAAACTGCCCTTGCCGAGACTCACAAACCCGGAACAGATGGCGGCGAAGTGGCTGCGTTTTTCGCTCCTTTTGTTGTGGTTTTGCTCGTTGTATCACGCCACGTCTGGAGACAGCAGTGGCGTGAAAAAGATGAAGATGCAATTCGCCACTGGACCTCTTCTCAAGTTCCAAATTTGGTAAGAAAGCGACGGATTGTTCTGGCGAGTCATTGCAGACTAGCTTCACTTGTGCTAACAACATGGGCCTGTGATCGCTGGAAGCTAGCGGCTAATCGGATGTGTGCGCAGATTTACATCAAAAGAGTTTATACAGTTGATTTATTGTATTATATCACCCATTTTTTTGTTATAGATTTACATGAGAGTATTTTCAATTGCCATATTTAGTCTAACCCTCTTTAGTCTAGTTAAAGTATACTATTAAAAAGTTGGCAGTTAGCAAATGCTACAGCTCATGATATTTGTGTTATTTGTAGCCTTAGCTGACCTTATTTACACTAATTAGCGTTTACAATTAACATTTAAGCTATCAACAATAATATTAATATAGTTATTAAATAATTTCTTATACTATTACTTTTACAAGAAACATATTTTTCTTCTATTTTTGACATGACAATCAAGAGTTTAATAATGAAACTGCTTCTTTTTTTTCTTGTTTTAGCATTTCCTGAGGGTACAAGCGGGTGTTTGAGGAGTATACGCAGGCTTTGTACCAGCGTTACCCAGACATCCGCATTGAAGGGGAGAACTATCTTCCCATTCCCCTCTATAGGTAAGAGATTGGATAAAATAGCGCTTAATTATTTGTTTCATCTCACCTGGCAATGCAGATTGTTGTGTAGTTTTACAGCCATCTTCCTTGGTTGTTCAGATCCTTTGTGTAACCTCTGCAGGGCCTTGGGGATTTATATTAATGGTGTTTTTGACACACTCATTATAAACCTGAGCTCTAAAGTATTTGTCAGACTTGCACATTACACCTGCATGATGGTCTACCTTAACAGACTATAGTAAAGTCTATTGTCAGCTGTCTTTGTTAAAGCTACTATGTTGAAAACAATTCTTTGGCTATATCTGCTGTAATTCTTTTATTCTCAGGAGGAATACATCTGAAAATGACTATATTGTTCTTTCAGGCACATTGCTTCTTTCTTGTCCATGTTGAAACTGCTCGTGATTGGAATGATCATCATTGGCAGGGATCCATTTGCTCTTTTTGGGATGCCAGCACCAGGCATTTGGGAGTGGGGTCAGACAAACAAGGTAAAATGGTCTTGGTTTTAACTGAACACATGAATGCAAATAATCTGGTAATTACTGGATTACAAACCATGTGAAATCTAGTGCCCATAGCAACTGTTGAAGCCCATGAGATTTCATTAGCAGTTATTCACTCTGTTTGTTGGTTGTTTGTGTTTTAAAATTCCCAGAGCATGGGCTGTAGAATTTGGTGCTTACACCAAAATGTGATCTGTTTTTAGAGTGCACAGTTACACTTTAACTGTGCACTAGTGCCCTTTAATCTCCCTAACACCTTCACTCTGTTTAAAGTGGTTGTGTAATAGTCTAGATTCTTGATCTAAATGAAACCTCTCTAAATCTTACTTTCTCCAGATATACGCATGTATGATGGTATTCTTCTTTAGCAATATGATAGAGAACCAGTTAATGTCAACAGGAGCTTTTGAGATCACATTAAACGGTGAGTATACTGTGAGGAGACTTCTCACTTGTATGATTAACTCAAGTATAACCTCATATTTGTTTTCCTCTCTTCTCTCCATCTTCCATCTTAATAGATGTTCCTGTGTGGTCCAAACTAGAGTCTGGTCACCTGCCTTCCATGCAACAGCTCGTACAAATCTTAGACAACGAGATGAAGATGAACGTTCACATGGACACAAGACCCCACCATCTTTCTTAACCAACTCTTTGCTTTCATACTGCAAGCCCTTCTATGTAAGACTGCTTTTTTCTCTGTATTTCTGCTCATCATTTTTTAATGTTCTAGCCATAGCCTCTTTTCCCTTGTAGGTTTTGAGGTGGGATTCTGACTGTGGCTGTGAGGTGATGTTTATGAAGGTCTGCGCTGAAGGCAGTTTGACTGTTAGCGCTGACTGGATGCCCCCATCACGTTCACTGTGCTTCATTGGAAATCCTGCCACTGATGCCAGAGGGGATCCCTGTGCCGGTCATACTCTTGTGAAATTGCCTACTTCCATGCAGTTTTTTCCACGATATCAGTGATTTAACACAGACATTTAACACTGATTCTTAACATTCTTTAACTTTGCTTACATTTGACCTGAGTGAATTATACCTTGTTATTTGTACCACTGAGCCATGTGTAGAATTGTTTTATTTTAATGATCCATTGCATAGCTTAGATTCAAAATGTTCAAATATATTGTCAATGTTGTGGAAAAATATAGTTGCAGAATCATGTCTTGAATTCTGAATAATTTTTATATTGACATGATAAGCTATGATGATTAATAAAACATAATTTAACACACTAACATTTATTTATATGTCTGGGTTCAATCTTATGTGCATCCTTTTACCATCTGGTCAACGTAATGTTATTAGGAGAACTAGAGCCTCTGCCGATTTAATTAGTTGAGACAAAAGAGATTAGGCAGTAATAGCCTAGACTGCTGCAACTGACCATCTTGAAGATGGAAAAATGTGTTGCATCGTATGCTATTACAAAAACTACATGTTCAATGTTGGGTAGAAATTGTAGTGATTACTTTGGGACATCATTGTTACGGAACCTCTTAAAACCTGGATCAGCCTTTGGTAGATTGGTAGTTATGGTTTGTCCCATTAATTCTGCCCAATGAATGGGAGGCTCTATATTACAAACATTGACTACAAATGACAATTATTTTAACTGTTGCATATTTGTATGTTTTAATTTAAGATGCTCATGTAGTGTATCTAAACTACGAAAGAAGCAGCAAACTTGTTATATATATAATATTTATTTTCTGTACCATCCACTCAGGAAAAAACATCTTATGTCATTTGTATCCTAATTTTCATGCTGTACTCAGAGGAACCCTTTTAGGCAGCTTTGGAGAAAGTCGCTGTCCTTTTTACTCATTGGGACCTTTTCAGCAAGTTTTAAAAGTTTATGCGCCAGACGATGGAGATGAGGAGTGGGTGCAGCGTTTGGCAGGACAGGAAGGGTCGATGTGCACATCAATTGGTGAATCTTTTGAATAAGATGTTCTGTTTTAATTTTGTATGCCAACACTATCAGTTCATCTTTTCCAAATGTTGGAGGGGTTAGCACTTCTTTACAGTTGCCCTTAAAATATAAAACAAACATTAGACATTTCTGCAATATTCTATGTGGTCTTTTTTTTTTTTTAGATGCATACCTTACAACACCAGGACCCCACATTGAATTTCACCTGTTTGCCATTTGCCAGGAAGGATACAAAAACTTGTTGCTTTCCCAATACCCTAACTCTAATAATTTTATTAATGCACAGGAAGATTGGTCTGAGAGGAGTGGACCCCAATTTGTACCATGTCCACCTGCTGACTCTAGTGCCATCTGGATCCAAACGCTCACACCCATATTTATTGATGATCAGCCTAAAAAAATAAAAACATAATAATTTATCTGTCATAACTGGAGTATAAGTAGACATGTTGATTTCTGTACCATATGTTCCCATTGTTGTGATAACAAGCGCCTTTACCATCAGACTGGAACAGAGCTCTCACTGACTGACCAGGATTATCATCGTAAACTATACAGACTCTTCCATGTGCTTTGGTAACTGTGACAAGGATAGCCAAAAGTCCTGACGGGTAGCTGTGATTATTTAGGTCAAGGTATGTGTTATATGCATGTATTAAGACAGATGACACATTTGGTTGGTTGGATACTAAACTTGGGCTGACCCATCTTCAAGAACTAAAAGGAATTTTAGACCATCAGCATAATACTTACTCACAAAGTCACCGCCATCCTTTGAAAAACAAAATATTGATTGTTATAAGCACTGTTATTTGTAGTCTGTATTATTTTGTGTTTTAAATCTTACCTGATAATGGCATAAGCCAAAATCAAGTGGCTTATGGGCACAAATGGAAACAGAAAACTCATAGTTACGGTTTGCGTCTAAAAAATGTGTCCTTCTTTCACTTTGATGTTTGGGAAGCCTCGCCCAGCTTCCTTCTACAGGACAGGACAGTCTAAAATTCATGACATTTGAATCTGGAGCAACTGAGGAGAACAAAGGTTATTCTAATAAACAAAAGTTTTGTAAAATGCATTTACTCCTCAATGTAACCCACCATTGTCTAATACAGGCATTTCAGTCAAATAATCCTCAAATAGTCTTGCTTTAGATTTATCGCTGTATGAAAAATAATTATTATTCCTGATTTTTTTTAGCAAGTTTGTTAAAATAATTTTAAGTCTACCTACTCTCTTGGCTCCACCAAAAAACTGCTGAATTTGGCCTTACTCCTTTGATACATCAAATCTTTGTTTTCACTGTGATCTTGTGTTATTGTGAGCTCTTCTGATTTTCCTTCCCGTACATTTCTCAAGTTTAGCAATAGCCTGTATAGTTGTTTCCACTGATCACAGCAAAACACGAACTCTGCCTAAAAGGTAATCAAAAAAGTACATTGTACATTTATTGCAGCTTACCTCTTATTTATTTGTCCTCTCACCTTATCAGCTTTGTCCAATGAAGGTGATACCTCTTGTCCACAATATTCACATTTTATTAGGTAATAAGATGGGGCTTCAGTCTTTTTAAAATAAACAAACAAAAGCATTACAAAATGTCTTTATGTATTTAGCCTACTTACCAATATTGTCTAGGCACCTGTGTGTCAACTGTTAGCTCACAATCCGATTCCCTCAAGTACTTTAAAATTCCTGCATCTCTGGTAAAATAGCTTGGCATCTCAAAAACTGACAGGTGAGAGTCATCTTGTTTCATTTTAACAGTCTAAAAACAGTAATTTTTAAGAAGAAAAAAAAGAAATGTGATTTTAGATTTGAACAGTTCTCTTACTTTCATGAGATAAGAAAGGACAATTCCATCCTGATTGGCATCCATAGTTCAATCTATAATTGGCCCTCGCCACTAACAAAGTTAGGGGCGAGGGGTATTGTTTTTGCTCGGTTTCCAACGCTCTATTATGATTATTTTTCCTTGCAAAGGATCTCAATTTTGAGGGCCTAAACGTCGACGAAAAGTCCCCAAACCGGGGTCCAGATCGATCGGCCCGGCGAAAAATTCGATAAAACGGGCATCGCGACAATGACCCGAGTGACCCGACTCAACAGCGCCACCTAGAATTTGACCCCTATGGGAGTGGGGACAGGCAAAGTTTGTCGCAGGTAAATGAAATTCGGGACAGTGATAGAAAACAATGAGACAAGCCAAAAGATGAATTGGAGCATGACCCTATGACAAACAGGAAGTCGGCCATATTGGATCAAACATTCGGCGCCGTTTTGACTTGGGTGTCTACAAAAAGATTCAAGTCCCCGGGGTTTGGTCCAAATGAGCTCAGATTTGACAGGTCACATCTACAGACATAAACTCACAGAAGTTGCCAACTTTTTTTGGGATACTCCTTACGGTTCGCCCGTAGCACGCCGCTACGCTACGCTGTTTTTTTGGTGACCTGTCACGGCCACAGGCATTGTCCTAGAGAGCTCAAATTCAAATCACAATTGCGTGATCCAGGCCTGAATGTGATGAATTATGAAATTTAATAAAAGTGAACTCTATAGCGCCCCCTAGCATAGACATGAAACGTCAACATTATCGGATTTGGACCAAATTCGGAAATTAAATTCTATGCATGATGACAAGCAAAAAAGTCTATTACGGACATGATGCATTTTCCACCACTGGCCAGCAGGGGCGCAAAGACTCCCCCAAAAAATAGTTAAAAAATTATTCCACCCACAGGCTTAGTCCGATTGTGCTGAAATTTGAATCACTAATGCGTCATTGTCGACCTGGGCGATTGTCGGGAAGAGGGGGTGGCGTGCCGGGGCGGTCGCGAGTCCCCGGAGGTCGCGTGGGGGGACGGTGCGCGCCGGGGCGAGGGCCACCATCGCCGCTCATTGTGCTCATCTTTTTTGGCAATTTGCTTTCGAAGACCACAGTTCTTTAGTTTAAGGTCATGGTTTAAGGTCAAGGGTATATTTCCTCTGTTATTTCTGGCCATTTTTGTTTTATAATTGAGTTGTTTTGTAAGTGTTGCTGTACTTACTGTTACGCAGATAAAAAGTGCGACCTACTCTGTGAAATCTACTCTGTAAAGTCTCCTCTGTGAAGTCTACTGTTTGAAATCTTTGTACGATTTGCTCTGTGTCAAGCTCAGCTAAATGTGCCTTTTCCGTTAAGCGATATGTGATTTTCGATTTGTGATTTGCGATTTGCCTACTCTTATAATCTCCCCGAGGCCAAACAAAGCTTTGAGTTAAAGCCCACAAAGGCTTTATGGAACTTTACATGTATGATGTCATCGGCGCCGTGAACCTGATGGAACTGGGAGGTTTTCAGGTTCTAGAATGTGATGATGTCATACTCCCAGACGGGGCAAGAGCCACGTTTCCCTGTTGACTGAGGCCGAGTGTTGTTAAGAAGTCACTGATATGAGACAAACCTCGATACAGTGCGCTTTCGATTCGATACGGTTCAGTAAAAAATAAAGGCTAAATCATGGAAAATCTTTGTTAAACCACTTCTTGTGCAAAGTTCATATGAAACACAAACATTTTAATCCTCAAAACAGCGAAAATGTCAAACGAGTTTCCTTCCACTAAACAAACAACGAAACTGTAGCTGTAACAAAATCATAATAATATAATAATAATAATATTCACTTGCCATGAAACACACGTAAGGATACATAATCCACCTGTAGTAATTTTGGTAGTACCAAAGCTTGTACACAGTCGTTTCTGAAATGGCACAAAAAGACAAAATCATTATCCTTAACCAAAAGTCTTTCTCACATTCGTAGTCGAATGCATCATATGTAAGTTGTCAGTAACCCAGGGGATTCAGTGTTTATTTAGGGCTGCTAGTGTAACCTAACTGGTTGTGCTGCTAGGAGAACAGGTGCGACTTTCCAAACAAACAGCTAATACATTAACTTGTTTATCACGTTTAAATAATGTTTTGTATTTCAAAAATTATGTAGTCTATATAGATATTTTCTTGCACCCTAAATGTAATAGGCTTTCATACAATCTTACCTTAAGTCGTTGGATTAATTTGCAAGTATTTGTTTGTAGTTGTCATGGTAATGCATGTTCATTTTTAATTATAAATAGGCCTTTTTTTGTAGGTATACATATCAAATAAATAAATAAAATAAAATAACAATTACAGCCTTTGTCCACAAGAGGGCAATGCGGTTTCCAGCTTTATTTTCAAATTAATGTTCGTTCGTTCGTTAATTTTATTGGACTTTTCATATTCAAGCCCACTCAAACATTGTTCAAAATATAAAGCGCAATACATAAATGAAATCTAGGCCTAATGGATGGGATGGATGGCACCAGCTGTGGACACGCCTCCGGGTGACACCAATCTCCATTCATTAGGAGACGCTGATGCTGATTGGTTCAGAGAGCACGCGTTTCATCCGATTCCACTAATTGGCGCCATTTATAAACGCAACTGCACTTTGTTAAGCCCAAGAGTCCTACACGTGACAAGATGTTGCTGAAACGACAATCTGAGTGTGCGACTGTTTACCTGGTCGTTGCAGTTTTTCTTGCATTGCACCCGACGCAAATGGAGGCCGCTACCTTGAGAAGGACAGAAAAAAGGGATGGACGGAAAGAACCGACTGCGAGCAGCATTCGAGAAGGAGTCATCTTATTTGGCAAAGCTCCTAAAAATGCTTCCTTGGATGATGACACTTCTTACCAAGCCGACTTTACAGGTAAGAAATGGAGGCTGATTTTTAACTTTTGCTTCCTGTTCTATCCCTCAACCTAACTTCTGGGTCGTTTTCTCGGCCTTGCGGCAGGATTTCACAAAGGAAAGGTTTTCGATGTCAGCTCAAAAGAAGCTCAGTGGAAGCGCATGTCCCCTTCGCTGCTGTGTGGATCGGACCACATGAAATTCCGAGCTGTTGGATCACCTGTGAAGTATTTGGCACTGAACCAACGTAAGTAGGCCTATTGGTCTTTGTTTAAAAAAAATAAAAATTCCTTAGGTTGTGGTGCTTGAATCATGTAATCATCTCTTGTAGATCCTCCCATGCCTTTGTCCCATATGCCTACAACCTGTGGCTACAATATGCATAGCCACCCCTTTGGCCTTGTAATGGATGTCCCCTATGGTGGCTGCTATGTTGTCCATGAGGTAAATGATTAGAGCTTTAATAAAAAGTGTACTTGTACACTCTAACCTCTTTATCTTTAGCATGGACACTACCATCTTCAACTGCTTTGGAATGGAATCCCGGTGACCCTGATTTGCCCAAAACTGCTAGATGTTTCCGCAACTGCATCTCCAGTGACAGACTACCCATTCACATTACCTTGGCACCAGCCTACAGCTGTAGCCCCGCAAGACCCCACTTACCCTCAAGTGCCTCCAGGGTTTCACCATTCTCCCTATTTCCAGTACCTCTTTCAACTGCTCCCGAAAACAGGGCAAAATTCAGCTCACTGGCAGTTTCAGAATCAGAATCATTGGCATCATCTACACCACAAAACTAGCCAATCTACTTCGTCTCCACAAGATGCAGCAAATGTTTACAATTTGTACCAACAGCTTCTGCAACAAAACCAGGCCACTACTACCACCGCTTCCCCACAAGATCAAGCTTCTATGCAGGCTAAGCTTTCCTATCTGTACCAAATGCTTCAACAAAACCAGGGCTATACTACCCCTTTCCCACAAGATCAGTCGTCTATGCTGGCTTACTTTTACTATCTGAACCAACTGCTTCAACAAAACCAAACCTCTACTGCCTCCCCACAAAATTCCAGCTTCTGGGAATGCTTATCTTCACTATTTGTATCACCTACTCCAAAAGCATAACTACCCCACCGCAACTCCACAAGACCCTCTCTTTGAGCTGCCTAAAGGGATGTCTCCATATTTTTACCACTTGCTCAAACATCTATACAAAGCCAAAGGATCTACAACTGCGATGCCACAGTGGGGGCAGCATTTGGGATCCCATATGTATCCCTGGCTGTATGCTAATCAAGGTGAAGCATCAGGTTCGTCTGACCAGTCCAAATCATCTTATATGTCCGACCCCTACTGGTATTCCCTCTATGCCAGCCAAGCCTCTACAGGTGCAGCAACTACTGCACCTCCCTCCTCTGGTCATGTGCCTTGGTATGGCCAAGGGAAAATTCCATGGTGGTTCCCCGGACAAGCAGACCAGACTACAGCTTCACCCAAGCCTTCAAAGTATGGCCAGTTTCCTATGTGGTATCCAGTGCAACAAACCACTGCCATGCCAACTATCAAGGCTCCAGGACAGTGGCCGTTTAATCCTGTTGAAGTTTCTCAGCTGCAGAGCAATTTCGGCATGTCAGAATAAAGTTTGAGAAAATCCTAAGTTTGGCTTTCTCTTCACTGTGCTAAATCAGTTTGTAAGGGGTAATTTGAACAATTTAGTCTGTCTGCTATAAGGGGCCAAAAAGCATAGTGACCAGACTGAACATGGTAGGCTTACAGATATCTTTACTGAAGAACTTAAGGGGGTAAATTCCTTGCAAAATGGTGGTTGGATGTCTTTGTCAATGCTTGGAGAAATCTTTAAAGGATTAGTTGCAGTGAAACTTAACATGTACTTATGTAATTTCTCAAACTACTTCAACTTGACACATGCTATTTAGTATCTCTTCTCACTAAAGCAGTTTTGTATGAACAAGAGTTTGCAAGTTTTTTATTTTTTGTTGAAATGAGTACTTCGTCAACTGCAGGCTGACACCTGCTTTGACTTGTTCATTTGCAGACTGGTAAAATGACCCTTTTAACATGGAGAATGAACTGTTTCTACAGAGGCCAGTGCATGCACACCCCATTCTGTCTGTTCGTGTACATCTTAGTCCTCTTCCTTTGGGCGTCCCGTGATGACACACATACACAGCTCTTCACACTTCACTGCCTCTAAGCTGCACGTGACACAGACACTGCTATCCTTTTGAAAAGGACCATTGTGCAGCAGTGGTCTTCCTACTCAGTCCATATAAAATGTCTTCTTTTACTAGGTTAAAATAATGTAGAACACTGGAGGTTACAGATCTGAAATTTAGCTGGGAAACTGGCCTCTGGTCTGTTCAAATCATTCTGTCTACATCAGAGGTAAGTATGTGCTTAGCACAGAGGGGCAGGGAATTATGGGAAAATTATGGTTTTGGCATGTAACTCATGTGATCTTTGTAGAGAAATCACGATGCTCTGGATTGTACTTCAGAATAGGACAACATGTCAATAGGTGACTTATGTGTTTTTATTTGATCTATACAGCAATTACGATAGCAATGTCTTTAACATTACTCTCACCCACATTAGCAGTGACAGTAGCTCCAACCCATCCACCCTGTATCTTTATGGAGGACTATGATGTGGATATGGAAGAGGAGGATGCATTGTTTGTGATGAAGGCTCCGCCACCCAAACCCTGGTGGATGGAGTATGAGGAGGACACCCGGCACCGGAGCACCACGCGGGGCTGCATGGTTAACAGTCGTAGCTGGGCCGAAGAGCTCCAGGACATCATAGCACAGGCCCAAACCGAAGACTGTTGTGGTGAAGGAAGAACAAGACTCTCCTCCATCTCTGTGAGTGATTGTGCTCAAACCTTTGAAAATGCAATGCATATATGACATGCGTGTGTTTGAATTTAAATTTGAACATTTGTCATTCTGTGGGATCTATTTATATCCACATTGGGGGTTGTGTTATAGTATTCACTGAAGCATTAAGAGTGAAAATGTTATGCAAAATTGGCCCATAACATGTCAAGATGGGGCATTGAATCAGATATGTAATTAAAATGCAACTTGCTTAAGGCCAATGAAATTATGCAGACCTCATTTTCAAACTACACAAACCCCGACATATATCAAATAAGCTGCTGTTCATAAGGTCAGGCTTCCTAATGGTTTTGTTTTGCTGTATTGCAGTGTAATTTATGAAGCTATTTTAAGCTCAGCCTTGTAGCTATTGCCATCATCTTTCTTCTTTACTCTAATTGCCCTAGTTCCTGTAAAAAAAAAAAAAAAAAGTCTGCCTGATATTGCCTCTATGATGCTTTAATTTCAACAATATCTGCTTTGCATTTTTTTGTATAACAGATAGATGGGTGATGGGTGTATGTGAAAGAGGAGATGTATATCTAGTTGCAGCGTCATTTGTACCTCCTCTACGTCCACCACCGCTCAGGCTCCCCCCCCCCCCTCCTCCTCCTCCTCTCACGGCCCCCTCCCTCCTTGGTTCTCCTGCACGCAGCTGCAGTGACTGAGCGTGTCTCCTGGGTCTGGATTCACTGCAGCGCACAGAAAAATAGGACGGCTGTTTTCATACGATGTGCTGAAGGATGGTGCACCAGGAGAAACGCGTATATCAGGTCTGTGGACATATAGATTTACTGATGTGACTGTGGAAAAGGATGAGGTTCAAGAAGATGAAGGAGAATTTTCAGGTATGCGTGATGGGTATCCATCATGGCTGTGCTGCTGTAGATAAAGATCAGCCATACAGAGGGAGTCATTTGGAGGTGTGGGTGTGCCATGAGTGGTTACACATTTCTGGCCTCATTTGAATTTAACTTATTTTTGGAGGTTTTTGGTTGTAAAATAATGGCATCCTTGGATACACAGTATCGGAAAGGAGAGCATGGAATAGGACTCCAGTTCAGAAATGGTCTTTTTAATGTCGTTACACCACAGTATTCATTTTGAGAGCTAATCACTAAAATCCCAGGTTTTATAAATGCTAATGATGAATATTTCCTAAGAAAATATAAAATTGGAAATTAACTGTCTTTAAGACGAAAATGCAACTGCAAGTGCTCTGTGACATGGTGGTTTGTCTGACTGATGTGGTTGTCAGCGTAGGATGCTAGAATTATCTATATTAAGCCCAGCTTGCTGATTTACTGCTGGACCTGACTAGTTTGTGTAATTTGTGAAATAAGTCTGCTATAATTTCTCCAATTTTATACTTTATTCTTACTTTGAGAGGAACAATGTTCTTCTATTCTACAATTCTAATTCTAATGTAAAATTGTAGAGGATATCAAATTACTGTGACTTTCATCTCCATGTTCACAGCTTTACCTCCTTTACCAGCAGGTGCACTGCTATTTTGGTGAGACCTTTTGGTGGCCTATTTCTGTGAACAGCATTTAATATCAATACACACTGCAGCAGAAACACAAGCTAAGGTTGCAGAAAAAACACAGAAAATGAATACTAACTAAAGTGATTTTTCTCTCTTGTCAGGCCCAGAGGAACGAGAGGGAGTCCATCAGGCAGAAACTTGCCCTTGGCAGTTTCTATGACGACGAGCCCGTCATCTACACTAGCAGCTGCAGCAAAAATGGACCGTCCTCCCGGTGAGTATGTTCCCTCTAGTCAGATAAACTAGAGAAATATTTAACCTGTTAAATGGATAAATAGATGGCCATTCAGCTAGATGTAGTGCTAGTCAGCTGACAAGTTAAGATTTAATAAAAAAAAATTAAAAAAAAATGTTTATAGAAATGGAAAAATATAAAAATGGAATTCAAGTTTTGTACATTTATACTAAAATTCAATGATTGTTTCACTCAAAGTGGCAGTGGGTTATGGCTGTCAAGGAACATATTTGTAAATAAATTAAAGAAATACTTACGTCATTCACATGTAGAATGGGGCAAATGTGGTCAGACTTCACACTTGTTCTCATAACTCCATCTTTATATTCACTGTAGTTTCTTTACATATCAAGTCTCTACTGAGATTTGCTTTACATGTGAGATTGATATTTCAAATTGGTGAGAATTGATGACTTCATGCTTTGAGTCCCTCGCCACTAGCCGTTAACGGGACAGTTGCATTACATCAGAACTAAAATGGTTAACCAAAGCCACACTCTCTGCTTTTTTTTCCAACATAGTCAAAATGTTTCTCATTGAACGTGTGTTTATTTATTAACATCCACATAACACTTGTGTCTACATTGAGGAAGTGTCTGTCTGCTGTGGTCAGATGCAGCTAAAACAGGAAGTATGCCCTTATATTTCAGTGTTTAGTCATACATACGCATTACCGTTATGACCTTCACCTGTAAAGGTGGATACATCATAGGTTTAGTGCTGGGAATTGTGGAAAATCCCTCTATTGTGTAGGGAGAACAGTGCCACTATAGCTAAGTGTAATTAATTAGGATTATCTGTGGTGGGTAGATACATATACACAGGTACATCTACGCAAGTAACACATCAGTATTTTAACATAACACTCTTGAGTAAAAGTTTTGGGTACTCCTCTCTACAAACAGCAAATGCTCTGTGTCAATTATATAAATGATTCAAACATTTGTGTTTCTTGTACCTCTTCAAGTATGATTTTATGTTTCTAACTTCAAATGATAAAAAAAAAAAGATATTACTCTTAAATTATATTCTTACTTCAGTAGTCTCCAAATTTTTACTCTTTTACACTTCAATTTAGTAGTGCAAGGGTAGAATTGAGAATTTGCTTCTATATCCTTTAATTTAATGTTTTATAATGTATAATTGCAAGCCTATTTTATTTAAATAAGTTAATAATAAATACTAAATTATATTGCTGATGTGCTGTCAGTTTGCATTCACCCAAATATGACATTAATTGAGAAATATAATAAATTGCAAATTCAGTTGGGCAATGTCTTTGTTACATTGCATTACATTGTTACCTAAATTACTGCTTCTAATGGAGAGGTTGCTTTGCGTCAGGGACATTTTGCACAGCTCCCAGTTACAGTCCCTGTTACTGTGCTGCATGTAATGTCTCTCAGACTGTCACAGAATTATCTGTACATCAATAAAAGTCAAGCTTATTGTTATTCTTCCATCAGTCGGCAAAGTGCTGTGAACCTGCAGGTATGCTTTGTCAATGACAGCAGCAGTGACAAGGACAGCGACGCAGAGGACAGCAGGACGGAGACCAGCCTGGACACTCCTCTGTCACCTGTGGTATGGGTCATCTATCAGTTTGTAAAAAAAAAACTTTTCAGTAACATTTTTGTATTATATTCAATACAATCCATTTTATTTTACTACTACATCTCTAATATGTTTCAATATTTATTGTCTTTTGAGAAGTGCTTTTTTCTCTCACATTCATTACATGATTAGTGATGGGTTCCTTTACGTTTAGCTTTTTCACCATTATGCTTGTACATGTGTTCAGAGCAAACAGAGCTCTTCTTTGTCCGACCGGGACACAGCGGAGGAGGACTCAGACCCTTTAGATGACTGTGGGGGCTTCTGGAGGGTCCAGAGGAGGCTGCAGGAGGAGGCTCGCGTGGCTCTGGCCCTGGCTCGGCCCATGGCTCGAATGCAAGTGGAAGTGGAAAGACAGATCCAGCTTCATCGAAGGTCACCTGTGGCTGACCTGGTGAGCCAGATAAATTTTAACTTCCTTATGTGTGGGCATATGAACCATCTTTTCAGAAGACTCGCCTTTAACAAGAGAGTAAATTACTCATTTATCGCACATTACCTTGATAGGGTTCTGTTCTGAATAAAAGGTCAGTCTTTGCCATTAAGTTGTTGAATAAGTGGTCATGAAAAGCCCCAAGTCATCATTCAGTAGAGTGGAGCAGGTTTCTCTGAACCGTTTGCGTTTTTTTTTGTATTTAGCTCCCCAATCTTCCTCACATCAGTGAGGGCCTTATGAAGAGGACTCTGCGGAGAGGGGACATGAGGGACATGAATCTTGGACAACTGCAAGTCATCACTAATGACTTACACTCCCAGGTTCAGAGTGAGTGCCAACACACATACATTATCTCAGACATAAGTTTGAATCAATTACCTGCTTGAACACATGCTAAAACACTGACCACATTCTACCATGTGCTACAATAGGTCTGAATGAGGAGCTTGTGCAGCTCCTGCTCTTGAGGGATGAGCTTCATGTTGAACAGGATGCTATGCTCGTTGACATTGAAGACCTTACCCGGTAAACTCAATACCAATACAACTTCTGTCTGAACTTGCAAACATTTTCTTTAAAAAAAAAAAAAATTTTTTTTTTTTTTTCTTTTGACAGGCATGCTCATACCCATTATCGACACCAGACAGAGAAAGCTATGTCAAAATAAAAGCCCTGTTCCAGTGTCCTGCACGCCACCAACATACAACATGGTCCAACACTCATGTTACTAATGACTCCATCTGTATTGGCTGTCCTTAGAGAATTAATTGCATCATACCTTTGGATTACAGGATAATGTTGGAAAAAGGGTAGAGCTGGGTGCATTGTGTAGAAAAGATTTTCATTTCTTTTCACAGCATGAACAAACATTGTGTGAATAGGCCAGATGAACAACTCCAACTTCAATTTAAATTAATTTCACAAATATTACATGGTTTTATTTGAACTTTTACAACCATTGTTGCCAAGCAAGTGAATGAATTCATATTTAGAACAATATTATATACAATATAATATATTAAGTATACAGTATACTAACATGGCTAGACAGTATAACACTTACATACAATATGTAGTTATCAGCCTGCTTCACTTTGTTGCTCTAACATGGCAGCAGCTTTATCAATGACAGTTGGATGATGACAGTTGGATAATGACTCACTGCTTCACCTCAAATGTTAAAATGTTTTGAGAAATGTACTAATGTATTAAGACCTTTCATTTGCCAAATGTACTCCACATTTTATGGTTCCATTTAGTGGGATAGTTAATGCAAACGTGGAGACAATTTTACATAAAAAATATGCAATGCGTTTTGCTCAAGTTTACTAATGAGATGTGTTTATGTAAACAGCATAAGAAGACATATTTATTTGTCAATACATATTTATGGACACCGTGTGTAAATGTAAAAGACTTTATTAAAGATGAAGGATACGCCTTGTTTAGCTAGGTTTCCACTCGCTTTTTACCACAGATGTCTTTATATGCTTTGTCAGTGGTTGTAAAAATAAAGTGTGTGAACGTAATATGCACTGTGTAATGTGTGAGTAATGAATGGGACAGAAGCTAATGTTCCTCAAAGATCTAGTTTCCCAAGTGCTAACACTTTCACACTTAAACTAACACTTGATGAGTGACGAATCAAGAGAACTTCCCAGGCGGTACACGCTCGATACCTCCATGTCATAACATTGTTAAATGTACAAATATTTTAGGATACTATAACTGAATGAGCTCAATGAAGGTCTATACTACATTTTCACTGCACATTTACTGTTAAGTTTTAAAATATTTTACCCTTCAACCCTTTCAAAACCTTTTCATAGTAAACCACTTTTCAAATCTTTGTGACCTCATATAGTATTTAGTACTGATACATTGATTTGTATTCTGACATGCATTCTAAATTTATACCTCACAATTTAAAATGAGGATTATAAAGGAATGAATAATGGTAACACTGTTACTGGCACCATGGTAGCACTGTTACTTGGAGCCTAACTGCTGTAGCTTCAGATCATTACCTGCCTATCTAAGATCTATGATAATATAAACCCACCTTCATCTATGATAAAGATGGGTTTGTAAATTATTTAATTGTTTCTTTAATTGCTATGTAATGTCATGATCCTAATTAACTTGATTAAGTTACATGACTGTTGATGTAAACAGTCATTTTCAGTTAGTAATATGATTCAAATGTTGTTATAGATTACCAGATGAAAGGATAGGACAAAGGAAAGCACAGACACAGACAGATAAAAAGATACAAGAAAAGAAATTTAAGCTCCTCAACTCCATTCAAGTGTCCATCTTCACTCTCTGACCAGAATATTGTTTGGAGGTGTCCCAGCATTCATTGCATACAGTGTACAGTCCTAAGATATCTCCAAAAAATACAGCACCCTAAGCTAACACTGGCACTCTATAATGCAAGAGAATGCAGTAGAAATGTTTATGGGTGGAATCCTTTTGATATTTTATCCAAAACATGTTTTAAAAAATATTTTCCTGAATAGTAAACAAGAAACTCCAAATTCCAAACGTTAAAACTGTATTTAAAATGTATTAGTAAAACAACGTGTGCCACAATTATTGCCCCACCATTTGCATGGAAATTTACATAAGGAAGAAAAGTTTGTGTTTTAATTGTATGGAGTATATCGAATACAGAATAAAATGCTCAATATTGGTTAGGTTTGACACTTCCCATGGGATAATTATTCAAAAACATACTGAAGAATTTTCTCAAAAATGGTTTAGTGACCACAAGATAAATGTCTTGAACCTTCCATCCTAGTCCCTTATCCAATTTGTCGGAATGGAGCTAATTCCACTTTCAACAAAACATTACACTGAAAAAAGGGAAATAACATAATCTTGAGTGTGCACTTTCATTCTGTAGTGAGGTGTCAACTACGGAGGGAAATCCCTGCCTCCTCTGCACACTATAAAACACCTAAGGAGGGAACTTTGGTCAGTCTCAATCAAACATTTGCTGGAGCCAAGATGCTGCACATCACGCTGTGTAAGTACAACTTTAACCAACTCTTCATTCTGTTTATACAAAAAATAACATTTTATCCTTTTGTTTATTCTGCTTTAGGTCCTGCAACATTGCTTGTACTATTGTCTATATGGCATGGTGGTTTTACATTGCCAATAACAACTAAAGAACCAGTGACAAGCGCATGTGTCCTTTCCGCACAGGCACTTTTAGATAACATCACGGATGCTCTCACCCAGGACAATGGGCATCCATATAAGGTTTGTAATCTTCTCTCTGTGCTCTCTGTTTGTAATCTTCTCTCTGTACAGCTTATACAGCAAACAAGTTTATCTCACAAATTAGATTTGTAAGAAAAGAAAAAGTATGAATGAAGCTTGCTATGAAATATTAAACTGGAGTGGACTTGTCCTATCACTGAATGATGTTATATCATAGCCACCTGTTTATAAGTAATAATGTATTCATATTTATTTTACAGAAAAACTTGTTTAAAGGATTCAGCTGCTCACAACAAAGTATAGACCTCAACACAGAGACTGACACACCATATGCCTGTGCACCTCATGTAAGACATTGGTTGCAAAATCTTTTCACATCATAAAACTTGCCTGTAAAGTTAACAATACTGTGTTGTGTGTCACACAGGGAACAAGTTGCTCTGGAGTGATAAAATCACAGTTTAATCAGGTAAGTTAAATGAAACTATGCTCATACCTCAAGAGATAATCTAAGTAAAATTGTGGTATTGTGGTTTTAATAATAGTGTTCTCTGACCCCAGGAGGTGTGTATGGAGAACATTGAGAAGGACCTGCACCACTACTACAAAGTCCTGTCTGGCCATCCTGACCCTGACATGTTCCTCAGAGGCACTCTTCTGCTCAGCCTCAGGGAGCTCATGATGGTAGTTAGTGCCTTTTCATCATTTATATTGTTGCTCTACTCGTAAATAGTTTAAGCTTAGTTTAACTAACTAACTAAGTTTAAGGTTTAAGTTTAAACCTATTCAAACCTTGTACATATTTTTGACAGACTTGCTTCTCTCCACCTGAAGACCTTAATAAGGTAGTAATGACTAAACCTCACTTTGAATCACTCACCACACAGTTGATATTAATATTTAGTTTAATACATTTTATGGTTCTCTCTTATAGTCGCCCTCAGAGAGTCCAAGCAACTATGACGACAGACTGAGTTTGTGTAAAAAACTGAAGGGCTTCCACATCCGCACCATCACCATCAACCGTGCTCTGGGATACATGCACTCTGGGGAGCACAACAAATAACTATGTGATAGTTAAACTTACAGTAACATCTGTGATGTGTTTATCTACTTGACTAAGTAATGTATGCTTATTTATTACCAACATTATTGTTGTATTTAACATATTTATTTGAACTATTTATTATTTGCTACATTTATTTAAATCAAATAAAAGAGAAAAATATATATTTGTCTTTATTTGTTCTAAGACCTACAAGTTCTGAAACTGAAACTGTTTATGTCTTGATTATTTTGTGTTGAGAAATAAAAACAAAAAGTGGTTATGTCTTACTACATTGATGAATGAAGATGTTTATGGAAACCCCTTACAGAAGAAAGACAAAGCAAAAATTTTGTGAATATGAATGATTAAGAGGATATGAAAGTCATACCCAGGTCATACCCAACTATTATCAACTATTATTCACTTATTATAAGGTTAACCAGATAGACATCAGCCCTGAAAAAATATGTGAAAAATCCCTCATTCATCCAGGTAGAATCCATGGCAAAGGAGAAATTCAATTTGTCAACTGGACAAAGTTTATTTGGTCGTATATGTTTCGGAGCTCATCCAAGCTGCTTCTACAGTTCTGATCAGCAAATCTGGTTTGAACAAATCAATTAAGAATATGAAATTTATTAATATTATATTCTTTACGAACCAACTGAAAGAGTTTCTAGTTTCATCTTATGTGTGGAAAATTGGCTGAGATTTGTGGCAAGCAGTTAAGAGAGAAAGAGACCTGTGACACTCACCACAAGTGGTGGTGAGACTGTGCGAGTAAACAAGGCTATAAAAACTGAAGTGTACGATGACGTAGTCTAGGCCACACATAACAAAAGTCATCAAACACAAAGTGACATAACGGGCTTATGTCACTTCTGATTACTCATGCCCTACAATGTTAGGCAGATGACATAAATATATGCATATGTTTAATTTCACTTTATATTAATGAAGAGAGTACTTTATATTAATGAAGAGAGTAGTTGAAGAGCTCCTTCACATCCCTTCTGTATACGCTAGACCTTATGATTGCCTGATATTCAGACTAGTTCTCTCGATATGTACTCCACAGAAGTCAAGTATGTACAACGGGCATTGTTTCGCCATCGGCCAAGCAAGCTTAATTGCTGTTGTTGTGGTGCCCCCTAGAGGATTTTAATTGTATGTGTGTGTGTGTGTGTGTGTGTGTGTGTGTGTGTGTGTGTGTGTGTGTGTGTGTGTGTGTGTGTGTGTGTGTGTGTGTGTGTGTGTGTGTGTGTGTGTGTGTGTGTGTGTGGGTGTGTGTGTGTGTGTGTGTGTGTGCGCGTGTGTGTATGTAGCCTACGACAGAACTCTGACCGAATTAGATCAAAACCTACTTCACGGGCTACAACTCTACAAATTTACTGCAGTCAGAAGTATTATTTGAAAATAACAGTACAAACTGCCCTGTCCGCATCCATGTTCACGCAGGCGCAGAAAGAGCTTTTTTTTCCTAATTAGGGCCCGCAGCTAACACCTGTGGAGAGCATCTCCGGCAGCTCCGAGTACTGACCTGACCTTAACATGCTCAAGTACTGACCTAAACCTGTTCAGTACTGACCTAAACCTGTTCAATATTGACCTAAAAATGTTCAAAACTCTAACCTGGTTCATATATTTTTTTGTTTTACTTACAATGACAAAAAGTCAGCGGTACAACTATGGAGCGAATCCATCTCACGTGAAAAAATGGGAAAACGACGTCTATGATCCAGCCCCCAACCCAAACCACCAAAGCGGAGGCCCAGGCGCCACTCCCCGTGCTGTTGTTGTGAGGTGCCGCCCTGACTCTGTGGAGGTTGTCATTCAGGCGGACATGTTCAACACGGGCTTGGCGGTCGATGGCAGCCATTTACGACTGGGTTTGGAGAAACAAACGAACCCATATGCCTGCAGAGCTATGCCCTCGGGACCGACCGAATTCACAATAAGAGCCCATCTCATGGATTGTGGCACTGTCAAACACTCAGTAAGAGCTACATTCTTAATAGGATCATCTGATGTGACCTACTGGTTTAAAATGGGACCAACTGTCATGTTTTCTAAATATGACACAACCTTTAACAGCAGTAATGTACTAAAAGCCCATTGTTTTCTAGCCATCAAAAAAGATTGTCTACTCTAATGTGCTGGTCTATGCCCCCAAACCTTCACCTGAGGGCTTACTGAGGCTGGAAGGAGCAACCATTCCCATTGAATGTCATTACAACAAGTTAAGTACAGTTATAGTAAATCTACAGTATGCTATGTTAAACTGACTGACTGCCTTTTTTCCTCTTTTTGTCCAGGTTTTATTCTGTAAATTCCTTCCCCTTGTCCCCTGCATGGACCCCTTTTAATTTACGAACAACAGCTGAGAGCCAGATGGATTTCAGTCTGAGGCTGATGACTGGTAGGCTACTGACTGCATTCTTCATATTAGACATAGCTGACTTTTTAGCAGATAATTATTATTGGACTACTATATTCACAAAACATGTGACTGAAAAGTTTGTTTTCATGTAGTCCCCTGGCCAGCAATTGCAAAAGCAAGAAAATACACAGGACAACAAAGGGAAACATAATTAGTAAGGAGTTTGCATGTTCTCCCCATGTTTGTGTACTTTCTCAGATACTGCTACACATGTGCAATAGGACCAGGACTCCCCTGAAAATAAGATTCCAAATCTCAGTGGGACTATCTTGGTTACATAAAGAATAAATTGAATAGTGGCAGACAAAAAGAAATATTATTATTATTATTATTATTAATGAAAAAGGGCTCTTGACTTTTCAAAAAATAACTATCATTTCTTGTCATTGCTGTAGGTGACTGGCTGTTTGAGAGGGACTCGCATGCATATTATGTAGGTGATCCAATTTATTTTGAAGCATCATCCATCTTGGGAAACCACAAGCCTCTTCGTGTCTTTGTTGACCATTGTGTAGCTACTGTAACTCCTGATGCAGAAGCAACATTAAGATATGACTTTATTGATCATTATGGGTGAGACCTCTTGCATGTGTTGAGGGCATATTTAGTTGTTCTTTACATTACACTGGTAGTTATTGTGTGCTTCCAACAGATGCCTTGTTGATGCCTATCTAACAAACTCTAGTGCACGATTTTTATCAAGAGTGAAGGATTACAGGATTCAATTCCAACTAGATGCATTTAAGTTCTACCAGGAAAATACTAACCAGGTGAATTTCAAACAATATGTTGTTTTTTTTATTTCTTGTATACTTAATAATTTTGTATTTAATTTTTAGATTTATATCACTTGTCACCTAACTGCTGTTCCAATGTTGGTCAAATCAAAAAGCAGGGCCTGTTCTCTCATTGCCAAAAGGTACCCCCACTTAAATGTGCTGTTCAAAGTCTGTTTTTCCTTCAATTTTAATATATATCTATTTTTAGATGGCGTTCTGCAGATGGGAATGATGACGATTGTAGGACTTGTGGTATTCCATATCCAGTTAAAGAAACTTCCACTACAGCACCACCAATTGTCACTTCAACGAGAGGGCGGGGCGAGAATAAACTTAAACCCCAACCGGCCAATTACATGCGAGTCCGCCCAAGAACTCATCAAAATATACATCCAAAGCCTCCATCATCTACCGGGCTAATGAAGGAAGGGGAGAAAAGAAAAGGCAATATAAATTAATTCATTTTATTATAAACATGTAGTGGTTCAACTGTGCAGTCTGTATGCTTATAGTCCAGTAATGCAGTAAACCTCTTATAATTCTATGTTGCTTCCTTTTTAGGGACTCTTAAGATCGGACCCCTCATAATCTTACCTTCTTCAAAAGACCATCAAATTTTACCAGACAAAAGGCCAAATGAACTGGTGACATCAAAATGACATTTTCAAGCAAGTTTTCAATGAATTTCCTGTTATTTTTATACTTTTAATTCACTATTCTTTTACATTTGGTTCATTTTAAATTTCATTTAGTTTAGTAGTCAAAATGTTTTTTGTTTTTTTTTCTATACACCAATTAACTGGATTTTTTTTGTGTAAGGTTCTCTATGAGTTGATACTTGATCTTTACTATTACAGTTTCCAATAATCCTTTGGGTGAAGCAAATGGCTTTGGCAATCAATTTAATTATCAGTGGTTTTAAGCACTCAAACTTCTCTAAATCTGTGCCATTGTACTACTGAGGAAGCGCATCATCTCCTTGCCATTGTAAATCCCATTTAACTTGATAACTACTGTTTTGAAGAGAGAAAAGCAGACATGCTTTTAGACAGCACTTTTGTCCATTACAACCCACAATCTACTCATTTGCAGTTATTGATTAGATGCTGTGTTAGGCTGCATCATAAAATGAACATTTCAAACATGCAGCATTTTCTTACTTTCTTATGATAAGGGAATATGTTTCTTTAGGCTGTGTAAAATGTGTATAATCCCAAAACAAAATGATTAGCTATTTGGTTTCTCAGTATTAAAAATGAAACAATCTTCTGTCTAAAGTAAATTCTCATGTTTCATTTCTAAGCCACTCTATCCTGGTCTGTTTGGTGTAATCATCCTAAATGGACAGTACAGCCTTTTAAAAAGCGCTTAGGCTGTAGTTGACCTTACATTATACACAAGCCTATATTCAGATTGCTAATGGGAAGTGCATGAGACAGCGCCCTGACTTGGACTTCCTGGGCGTGTGAGTGGCGCTGTCCATGGTCCTGAAACGTCCCCCTGTGACGTTGGGAAGACTGCTTGTTTTTAACCCGACTCCCACAATGAATCACTGCTTATTCTGGGTTCTCAACAGGACTGGTCGATCACTTGGGCGCCTGTTTACTTTCATGGCATATAAATAAGCACGTATGTTGGACTTATTGTGTGGACTGACGCCATCAAAACCTCCGCTAAGTGCATAATATATCAGACTGGTCCATTGGCCCATGACAGCTAGCTTATTTGCATATAATGTGAACTAGCCTAGTTGGAGTTGTGAGTAAAGGGGCTCAAGAGGTGACTAAGGATTGACTTTTTGCTGCTTTTTGTTATCCTCCCGATGGTCCGAAGTTGCGCATACTCTTTCCAATGAACTTGTTATGACTATTTCACGATTCTCGACGTCTTGTGTTTAACAAAGCTGGATTTAAAGTGTTTTGAGGATCATGTTTTCCTACAAAAGCCTAAATGTTGCGGTGTTGACGCTTGTCTGTTTTACGCGCAAACTTGTTTTCTCGATACGCAGATGCGGTCAGAACATTTGCCGTGATGACCAAGTGTGCTGCGTGAGAGGGAATGACACCACCATAGTGACCTGTTGCAAGGAGCTCGTGGACAGCACTTACTACAACATCGCTATGGTCACACGAAAACTTTCTGGTGTTCTCATCATGTTACTGCTATTTGCATTTGGGTATTTCGTGCAGAGGATGTTGTGTTCCCGGTCCAGGCAGCTCTCAGCTCCATACAACGGTCCCCCAACAGCGGCCGCCTCCCAGGAGATGCTCATGGAGAGTTATACGCCCGAAAACTTGCGAAGCCCAGCCTTGAGCGCCCCATTACCCTCATACGAGGATCTTAAACGGCTTCCGACTTATGAAGAGACTATACGTGAGTCCTGCGTACAACAAGAGAGAAACAATTCTTACACTGCCTAAATAAAGCAGTTTACGCGCTCATAACGCTGACAGTAGCTTGAAAAATCATAAATAAAAACTTTACTGTGACACAAAAAGAGACGTAGACCCTTTGTTAAATAATTTAAAACGACATACATTTATTGCATAATTTAATAGATCAATAATATATGCACGATCTTTCCTTTCCTATTTCAGTCAGTATACTTTTTGCATCAGTGCATCATTACATTGTGTTTGGATGTCTCAGAAATAGACACTACTAATTAATAAAGTGAGGCTGTAAAGAGAATATGTAGTCAATGTCAGAATCTAGTATCTACCACCTCTGATGTAGTTCACAGTTTCCTTGAGGTTGCCCTTGATTCCAGTGACGTGTGAGAGTTTAATCATGTTAACCACCCGAATGAAAGCCTCCTCCACCCCAAAGCCTGTGGACGCAGAACACGGCTGAACGAACCAGTCCCGGTCCGGACACAACTTGCTCATGTTGATGCCACTCTTTATCTCCGAAGCGGTCATCGAGTTGTCTACGTCCTGTTTGTTGGCCAGCACTATCAGGGGACATCCGCGCAGCTGGTCACTGCTCAGAGTCTTCTCGATCTCACGTTTTGCCTCGTTAAAGCGCCGTCGGTCCGAACTGTCCACCACGAACACGATGACCGCGGTGTCCTGGTGGTAGCTCTTCCAGTGTTGTCTCATAGCACCTTGTCCGCCCACGTCCCACACAGTTAAGGAGATATTCGTCTTGTTTTTTCTCACCTCCATCGTTTCCACGTTGAAACCTACGGTCGGGCTGGTCTTTACGCTGATGTTATGTTTGAGTTTGTAGAGGAGAGTGGACTTTCCAGCATTGTCCAGACCCAAAAGCAGAATACGGGCCTCTGGTAATTTGGATCCTTTTTGGCCCATGTCTTAGGATCACGAAATCCTCAAACCCAAGGCTATAACCTGTCTACTTCCTCTTCAGTATTTGCGCACTGCGTTGGCCTTGTTTTAATAGATGATATATTAGTCGTATAACTCCCAACTGAGCCACTGATAAAGAGCCACACCAGAGGTCAAAGTTTGCATCACTATTCAACTTTGCATGAACAGGCTTTATATGGAGTTGTTTAAGTGATGCTTAGACAATTCACTTAAACGGGGTCACTTTTTATGTTGAAAGAAAAATATCATGTTCCATGCAAATGGAACTTTATTTTCCAAATTAGTGTAATGCACACCTGTTCCAATACAACTGGAAATATTATTTCTAACATTTGCCTATAGGTTCTGTAAGCATTTACACCAGTATATGCATTATGGCTAATGCAGATAGTGTTTTCCTGCCCAAAATGCAAGACAGTTTGTTCAACAAATAAAATGACAAGCAACACTTGTAATTGTAAACAAAAATGATGTAAAATTTCTTCCGTAGTGTAGTTAATAAAAAAAAAAAAAACAGCTGAGTCTTACCAACTTATCTCAGTTCATTTGACCTTTTGAATGATTTTTGATTTTGAAAAATCAGACTAACTGCATAAGGCTTTTCTGTCAACATGGTAAATAACTTGCCTTTTTCCTGAATACTAATTCTCAACACACATGAAAAAGTGACAAAATTTAAGAACATTTACACATTTTCCCAATGTGTTCATTCAATACAAACGAGTTAAGCAAATGAACTGGATTCACTGTTGTATTCACAAAATCACGTGGAAAATGTTGAGTCAGAGATTCACGTCTATTTAGAGAGTAGAATCTGGCAGATTTTCAAACTCTTAAGACCCCACTCCCACTACATCACTGTTGTTATTTAAAGACATAATAAAAATAAATAAAATGATAGCGATTCAAGTAAGTAAATAAATAAATAAATGTTTACAAAAGAAAGAGATATCGAAATCATTGTTAGTGAATCACTTCCAAAATATCCTTTCTAGTCCTACACTGGTTGTCTTAACAGACGTAAACAAGAAATCCCAGTGATCAGACAGACCAACCTTCTGTTATACCGGTTATGTCGGCCACACCGGCCTCGCGTGACTGTGCAATCTCCACGGACTAATCCATCCGCTGCTTCAAAAGCGCTCAAAATAGTGCGCCATACACCAGCATACGTCACACCTCTTATTGGCATTTAGCTTTTAGAAAGTTAGGGATTGTTCAAGAGCGCGTCCATCTCTCCTTGGACTTGACCCACACGCCCCCAGTAGGATTATCCATCACGTACTCCAGCCCATCTGGCTCACTTCGGTACTGAGACCAGCACTTCTCCTGTGTCTGGGCCCAACCAGAGAAATTAGGACTTCCAGATTTACAATCCGCCCTTTTCTGGATTCTAACAGCAATGGGACTTGATGATTCGTCCATTTTACTTGGGGACTCGGTGCCAACGCGCTGAAACGCAACCCTCGTCTCCATGGAGGATTTGGAGCCTTGCTGTCCCATGATAAACTATAGAATTCTTTATACTCAAAAAAACTCGATGGACTTGTTCTCCGTACAAAGCCGTGACGGTTGGCCTTGCCCCTGTCCACTCCTGACTTATAATGTGCCAAGTGTGTTCCAGGGCTTGGTTATAATGACTTCCCATAAAACAGCGCTGTGACGCACTAAACTTAACGCGAGAGAGAAACTTGTAGTAGCTTCTTGGCATGTGGAGCGGTACTATTTCTAGTGCGTGCACCTGGTTTAGACCGTCACCAAACGTTGACTGAGATCCAAATTTAGCGTAAAGGGCCCTGGTGTTATTTACCTCAATGTCCTGCAACAAATCAGGGGTCACTTGAGCATTGTTTAACGACTTGTGAGTGTTGATCTACATTTGATTGACACTTATGGATGGCTCCTGGAGGTTGATGACAAGTGCGTACGTTCCCGGAGGTGTTAAACTGTGGAGTCTACAGGAAATGCATTAGTCAGTGCTGCTGTCATTTCCAAAGATGGGGATACAGGAATAGAGGCACTGATTATCAGCAAAAACTATGGCAATTATCCCTGATCACATGGCTCATAGGCTTACTGTTTTATTAAAATTGTGATTCCACGGTTTTCACAGAACTACAGATAATGAGGCGAGATGATCTCTGATGCAGACTAGTGAAGGTATTTTAGTCAAAAATAGACTTTTAATCTTTCACAAGTGCCCATTTTATTTCTGATCAAGTAAAATATAACAAAAACACAATTTGACGTATCCACAAACTCAACAATAAATAAGGCATTAGGCAAACTGTTAAATAAAAGGCTTATTCTAAACAAATGCCATAAAACACAGCATTTAACATGAATGACAAAACAGTTTAAATTAAGTAAAATCTTCCATAACAGATCATTGCTTTTACTGTATTGCTTCGTATTTGCCCCACAAGAAACAAGCATTCAGTTCAGTGCCATATTAATCCATGATGGGTGTGTATTCATAGATGAAATACTATTATAGCTATTTGATGGAGCACTGCACATGCCTGGAACACATAAAAAAAAATAAAAACAGAGTCTGGATCTAAAGCAGGTTTACATACATGGATCTTGTGTTTACATTATAATTTAGATGTAAAAAAAAATCCATTCTCAACAAATAAAAAGTGCATTTTTGTGATTGCTGTCCATGCATTTTATCACCGAGTATCTTATTTTGTGCATTAGTCATTTGACATTCATATTAAGTGTCAGTATTTGTGATATAAAGATCCACCCGAGCCAAACCGATTTAAATTAGCAAGTTTAGTTTTAGCCAACCAAATGCTCAAAATGAAATTCCCTCAATTTTTATGCATCTCTATAGGCACTAGTTTCAAGTCTGTTTTATAGAAATTGCCCAGAGTAGCTGTACCATCCATGTGCATGTACAATAGGTATCATTGCAATCATAATCTTGTGTATGCTGGTTCAATAGTAAATAAGAATGCAATGGAAGAGAATTATTCCAGTAGTCCAAAAAGTAAGACACATTTCTTTATACAAAATGTTGAGTAAGTTACTAATGGACATTGGGTGGGATGTATAACTATAAAATTGCTTAGTATTGAAAGACAGTCTCTTCTGTTACTAGCTGGTTACTATGCTGGATACACCCTGCCTAAGGCCCAACATCACCATTTATTTGCACAGAAATAAAACCAATAATTTAATAAATGAGCTTCACTTTGAATGTAACTACTGAAATATTGACTTCTCCATCATATTCCAATTTATTTTAATGCACCTGTACATCTTGTCGGGTTAAGGGTCTGTTATGAGGCTGAATGCCCTTAATGCAATCGTATGCTATTTCATGTTTTTATTTTTTTCATTTCACACTCACATGAATCCATCATCGTCATTCAGAAAATACTGGCGTAATCTCTTCTATGTCTACTCACTTGTTTTGCCACCACTTGCCCCACTTTTAAACTTCACCACCATGACAGTAATGTTATCTGGACAGCCTCGATAAAAGGACTGGAGAACAATGCTCTTGGCGCCAAAGTGTGGCTCATCCAGGCGCTCGCGAACAAAACGAACAGCTTCCTCGTTACTGAAAGCATCCCACAGACCATCAGAGGCTAGGATCATGAACTCAGGTTGGAGTTTATCCAGGTCAAAGGTCATGATGTCAGGGTCAGGAATGACAACGTTGAGGTTTTTCAGGGGATAATCACCAAGAGAGCGGGACATGGCTAGAATTCCTTGGACTCTCCACGATCCATTAAAGCTGATGAAGCCGCCTACATAAAACACATGAGTTTTATTATAAAATAGGGATTTAGAGCAAATGTAATGTGGGTCAAACTTTATTATTCTACAGCCCCTTATTGGCATCTATTTAGGGCTAGCTTGAGGAGTATTTAAGTTTGAAATGTATCATTGTAGTGAGCCACTATGTAAGGTGCTGTTCAGATATTAACCACTAGATAACATTAAAGTTCATGAAAACAAAAAAACTGAAATAAAAGTTATGCTATTTTGTTGATTATATGAGTTACTTTTAATCATGGTTCCAAGAGTAAGAGGTGAATTTTACTTTAAATGTATGAATACATCAAAACATTTTAAACTGTTAATATAGTAGAAAGTTTTCTACTGTGTTTCTTGAGTCACTATGGATGAATAATTGTATATTTAAAAAAAAATGTTTTCTAAAAAAAACTGTTTTCTAGTGAAGTCTATTGGTTAATATAGTGATGCTGTCTCCATGCTGTTCCCCTGTCATACCTGCTCTCTTGATCCTCTTGCGTTCCTTGAGTTGATATGGTTTGTGATCATGTGACAGTGCAACAGCATTTCCATCTTTGTCACACAACACGCCGCGGGAGTCTCCAACATTTGCTACAGTGAGCTCTCTATCTGACAGCAGGGCCACTAAGCAGGTGGTGCCTGTGGATGGAAGACAAAGTAAAACAAAAACAAATGAGAAATAGGCATGTTAAATCATATTAACTAAAATGAGTTGTTGCTGTTCAATAAAATTCATTGCTATAATACATACAGTACTGAACAGGCTTGTTTGTGCATTACACAGACACACAAACAGCATCATAGAACAACTATGTTTTATGCTGTTTAATAGACCTTCAGTAGAGGCCCAACTTGAGTCAGTTATTTTAGTCAAACATGCTTTGAAAATTCCAAAAGTAGATAGTATCACATACCCCCTCCCTTCTGACCTGCTTCATCATGGCTGGCAGAAAGCTTGTCCAGCATTTCACGGTCCACAGCCAGGATGCGCTGCTCCAGGATACTAGCATAGGAGAGCCCACTGTCTCTCTTCTCCTTCTCAAAGGCTTGCAGGTGCTGCTTCAGAGCATCAGGCAGGTGAGCCTTCACAAAATCTGCTGCAGCCTGAGTACAGAACATGATGTTAGAATACAAACAGTTAATGTTTTTTTGTTTGTAGAAGTCTGCTATTTATGTTTAATTGTCTAAATAAGTAAGTGTCAAAGTCAATGTTGTCAATGTTCTTCTTCTTCTTCATAATTACATAATGCTAGGGTTCATTTCCTTTCAGTGACTGCTGAGCAATCAAAATTACATAGTTTTAAAATATCTACATAACATAGGATGACATGCAAGAAGTTATAGTGATCCAAGCCCATTGGTCCCAATTGCTGAAATGTTGGAGCCTTGCTACAAATAAACAAAATATGTAAACAAAAGATTAAGTCAGACAAGGTTTCAAAAGTACTGAGGTAAAAAGTGTGAAGAAATGCTTCATATTTCAGATCCTTCAAAAAAGGCATTATTTGCTTTGATCATTGCTTTGCATAATCCATTAAATGACCCTGACAGGGCACACTGCCTTACAGAACATATCAATGTACTAGATTTATTATTCCATCCTAGAAGTGTCATTTTATGCATACTTGTATCTAGAAGAAATAATAATAACAAATTCCTGTTAGATACAATCGAAAATCTGTGAGAAAATTACAGCTAACAGTGTGGTGGATTATGGAAATTAATAAAGTGGTTCTGCTGAACTTTAGCTGGTTTAGGTCTTCTTATTTAAAATGCTTCTCCACCAGGAGATACATTATAATTTCCTACATATTCCCTACATATTTTTAGGCCCAGAACAGAGATGGAGGGAACGCTTGTCCATATTTGGTGTGATAGCACAGCAAAATGTATGTTATGGGATGAGTGGAGAAGAACTAGACACTAGCAAAAAAACTATACACTTGCAAAAAAGACCTCGAAAGGAAATGGGGAAAATGTAATAGCTGCAATGGAACCTCTAGGGAATGGCAAATGGCAGATGGCCACCAAAATCAGCCTGAGACCATAAACAAAAGGAAACCCTCCCCTCACCCACTTAAATGCAGAGTTCCAAATCAACTCACAGAGCGTACAAGATGAATTTACAGATTTAAAGGCTGTTCTGCATGGTAAAACTGATGCACCCTACTTACAGAAATCTATGTTACTCAACCAATTATGTTTAATTGTGTCCTTTTCTGCTACATTTAGTGATGATCTACTTAAAACACAATAATGCAGTCCTAAGGCATACCTCTCCTCCATGCCCGTCAAATATTGCGAATATAGATGGATGGCTCTTGTTGGTGATGTCAGTGAGCACTTCAAAGCGGTCTTCCATGTGGTCTCTCCGACCCTGTATAGAGTAAACCGCCACATTGTTGTTCTTGAACTCCCATGTTTTGGAGAACTCTGCATCCAGCACACTCAGGCCTCCCAGACGGTCGTTCTGCATCATCTCGGCCACTTTTCCCTTCACCATTTTTACGGCGTCCCGACTGGATTTGACGATGGTTTTCACCTCGTCCGTGTGGAAGAAATAACTCCATAGAGCCAGACTTATACATAGCAAGAACAAAGTCTCGGGCCTGAGGAGAAAATAACGCATGATGCGACCAAGGAGAGACAAGAGTGTCATTGTGTCTCCTATCATCACACGCGACCAAGCTGCGGTCTGTCTGCTCCCTCTTTGCTCTGTTCACTCCATCCGTTTACAGAACCATATCCAATATAGGTTAAGCACCTTGTTGTTTGGTTTTATCTCAACATTTGTCACACGCAGCGCGCACCTCCGCGCGCACAGCGCTGGGCTGAATGGGTCCTCTCATCCGTTCCTCATGCAGCATTACTAGGCTGACTCAAGGAGTTGAGGTGATCTTCCGCAGTCAGTCCATTGTAGGACGGTGACTTTGTCCGAGGACGCTACGGGACGAGAAAAAAATCCCAAATCGACTCCGTGATATAAGTGTTCTTCTTGCGTAAACGAGCCGTTCGCTGAAAATAGAGTCAATTTTCCTTCGCGTCGAATTCAGAAACATACACACGTCCTCTTCAGCCATAAAAACAAGAAAAACCACGAACTACGAGACAAACAGAAACCGGAAATGTTTTGTTTTTTTACGTAAAACGCGCACATATTTGATGCAAGTGTAATGCTGTGTGGGACATTTATTTTGAAACCAAAGAAGGATGCAGTGTTTTGAGACTACCAGCACTTGACACTGGTTCGAGTATCGTTGACAAAAGTGCGCAGCTGCAGACTCGGGTGACTGAGCCAAGCTCTCGCACCAATGGCGCAGCGGTATGTAATGGGTGATGTCATCTGTATGATAAACGTCCAGAACTAGTGTAATCTGATGTCCAGCGCCTATACCAAGGTGATTTGATCCCATTGACCGTCCCACTGTAAACGTAACATTTGGCCAGATAAAAAATAAATAAACTCAAATGCTGTAAGGCATAGCTCAAGTGCGAACAGTTTCCCCTGGCGTCTCCTTTAATTTTGCAGTTAAGTTTCTTAACATTTCAAATAAGATTTTCTAACTGCCTATAATTGCCTCTTCGTTTTAATAGTTTTGAGTCAAACTTTCACCTTTTCCTTGGTTATAAGCAGTATATGGCAACCTTTCAAACAGAACTGAATTAATTCCTTCCTTTAATTAGCCTATAGCCATTACTTGCCTAAGGTATTTAAAGGTGCACCATGTAACTTTTCTGTTGAAGGGTCTGCCACCTGAATCTCTCCATGTGTGACATGTTGTAGAGTATAGCATCAAATGTATCTACATGGAGACAGCCACCAAGCCACTTGCCTGACAGTGCCATCCCTCCTGGTCCTTGTATATTACATATACAGGATAAGCGATTAGGATGGCATTGTCAGGCAACCAAGCAACCAAGTTACAGGCCAGATCTGTACTGAGGCGACCCACTTATAGTAAGACCACTTTCACTCTTTATTTATTTATTTATTTATTTTGGGTGCATAAAAATACCTGCTACTAATAAATAAAATATATGTTAACTGCTATACTAAGGAACATTCCAGGCAAAACAATAAGGTGGTGAAACCTGCTGGCCTTCATGGAGATGATATGCTACACCAGAAACGTTACATAGTGCATCTTTAATGTAAACATTTCAAACACAATCACTGCTAGAATACAGAATGTGCTTTCTTCAAGATCAAGAATATTTTGCTGATAGGCTTTCTTGAGTTGTAGGTGAGTGTGGTGAATGGGTGGATTGATGCCTTACAGGTTCTGGGACATTGATCTGCTCCATTGGGTTCGCAGTGATCCATTTTCTGCTTTGAAGGTTTGCCAAATGTGTTGTCCACTCAAAGCAGATGAACTTACTAATGATTCAAAGTATAAGAACATGCTGTATCTCTATGTTGTGAAGGTGTCTTTCTTTTTGGAAACCTTATATTTATAGTGTTTGTGTACAAATCAGAGGTGTGTGAAAACAACACCATGCACTGAGCATGAACCCTCTCTGACACAAGAATCATATCCCATATCACAAAGTCTTGTGTCGAATACGAACAGCTTTGTAGTATATCCCCCAGGAGTCATATAATCTGGAGTTGCTAACCCACCTTCCCCTATAACCTACAGTGTGCTGCCTTTGTTCACTGGCAATATAAGGGAGTGGGCTCCATTGATCCTGAGTTAGAGGCAATGGATGAAGTATGAACACAGCACCAGGTACCTGTGCAACATTATCACATCTGCAAACCTAGGCTACTCTCATCTACATAGGTGGATAAGGGTTTGTTGAATTTACCGGATCGTCCTCTTTACATGATAATGTTCTTTTTTTTTTTTTTAGTTTGTTTTGACTTTCATCTCAGAATGACCCGTGTGCGCTTCCTCTTCCTCCTGTGTATTCTGGTTGTGCTGATGGCTGTAGAGATCTCTGAGGCTAAAACAACACGGGGACTCAAAGCAGACAGCACTAAGAAGCCCCCCAGAGCAGGGGGCAGTGGAGGCTTCAGGAGGACCACTACCACCACCCCATCCAGCCACACTGATGAGACCACTGATGTCATGACAGACTCATACACGCTGTCTGCAACTGACAGCACTACATATTCCAGCGACCTTTACCCCACAGGCTTCCACAATGATGCTATTGCACCTGTTGGGAATGCTCTCGGAAATTTCACCCTTGATTACAGTGAATGTTTCTTTAACTTCTGTGAGTGTTGTCCACCTGAAAAAGGTCCTGTGGGGCCCAAAGGAGATCCAGGGCTTCCGGGGCCCCCAGGGGAAGCAGGTCCACCTGGTAAATCTTCACACATGAATTGGTTTTCAGGTTTACCTGTACCACATCTGATTTGATTTTGTTTTGCAGGACTAGCAGGAGAGAAGGGGGAGCCAGGGCTCAGAGGACTACCTGGCCCAGAAGGACTTCCTGGAGCCAACGGACTCAATGGCGACATAGGTACAACGGAGCTTAGCAGCAGACGAACATTTGACTCATATCTGTCCCTTTCCCTCACTTTATGCTTATCTCCCTTTTTGCAAAGCACTGTTTTATTTAAGTATTTTTTGGATGTCATTTTCTACGCTTTATTTATCACAACCACTACAGGTGAAAAAGGTGACCAGGGACCTATGGGCCCACCTGGGCCCCCAGGGATTCCAGGAAAACAAGGAGAAAAAGGTATCACAGTACAAATAGACCATATGTTTTTCAGTATGTATGTACAATCTGTATTCCTGGATATAAGAAATCTCTGGTCTGATCTATGACAACATTTGGCAGATATACATAATGATAATATTATAAAACACTCATGCTTTTCAAGATACTGAAATACACTTTACATCTTAGGATAACAACTGTATATGTCCATCTTTCATTTAAAGATACATTTTGTAGCTCTTCTGGTGGAAGGTATGTCACCTGCTTGTCTCCACAGAAATGTAAATGTTATAATATAAATATCCTTTGTTGTATACAGCTCAAACTAATATGAAAAGCTGGATAATAAAAAATAAATAAATAAATGTATATGTACATGTATATGTATATGTATATGTATGTACGTTACAATTTTGCAGAAAAGAGTACCTATTCTGTGCGTGTCTTGTCCTCTAAAACAGGTGATGCTGGCCCCAAGGGAGAGAAAGGTGAACGTGGCACCATTGGTTTAAAAGGAGACCCAGGAGAAAGAGGTGAACCTGGTCAGAATGGGACTAAGGGCACCATGGGGCAAGAAGGTCCTATGGGTCCTCCTGGGCTGGCTGGGCCAAAGGGCCTGAAAGGTGACCAGGGACCCAAAGGAGAATGTTTGCTAGGTGCTGTTGGCCCTAAAGGGGATGTGGGTGCTCCAGGACCCCCTGGAGCTAGAGGTGACATGGGGCTCAATGGGACAGAGGGTTTGAAGGGAGACAGGGGAGACGTAGGCCCTCCAGGACCAAAGGGGGATGCAGGGGCTAGAGGACCTCCAGGCCCTCCAGGAGGACGGGGGATGCCTGGTGTGAGGGGGGAGAGGGGTGTCAAAGGTGTGAGAGGGCCAAGGGGTCCTAAAGGCCCACCTGGAGAGAGCGTGGAACCGGTTCGCTCTGGTTTTAGTGTGGGCCTGTTTCCTAGTAGGTCTTTCCCTCCACCTGGACTCCCTGTGAAGTTTGATAAGGTTTTCTACAATGGGGAGGGCCACTGGGACCCAGCCCTTAGCAAGTTCAATGTCACACACCCTGGGGTCTACCTTTTCACATACCACATTACAGTCAGAAACAGACCTGTTCGGGCTGCCCTGGTGGTCAATGGAGTAAGAAAGCTGAGAACACGGGATTCCCTTTATGGCCAAGACATCGACCAGGCCTCTAATCTGGTCCTACTGCAGCTGAGCGAGGGGGACCAGGTGTGGCTGGAGACTCTGAGAGACTGGAATGGGGTCTACTCCAGCAGTGAAGATGACAGCACTTTCTCTGGCTTCCTGCTCTACCCTGACTCAAAGGACAAGCCCATCATCGCTTTAGAAAACCTCTGACAGCGCCACCACCAAATGTTCTTAGATTAGAGTCATAGATATTTCACTTGCTGCTGCCACACTCGCACCAAAATATAGTTCTCCTTTTAGATTGCTTTGCTACTGTGTCTCTTATGTACTTTGCACTGCAATAAAGTTGATATGCATCAGTTTTCTTTTCCATCTGTTTATTTACCAGCCTTAAAGAACTTGGAAACTGTAATTACTACAAATAACCGCTAGAGAGCGACAGATATCTAACCACGTTTGCTCTCAATTCACCTACCATTACATTATTTGAATACACTTTAATTCCAACTTTAATTTGCACATTGATCATTTTGAGAATTTCATTCACAAAATTAACTTCAGTTCAATAGCTACAAAGGTTTTCAGAGAGTAAAATGCGAATTACTACATTTTGTCATTCCATAACAGCAGTGTAATCACGTGTTAACGGTGTGAGGGCTGAGGGGGAGTAAAGTAATGAAATCTGATCTGCTATACCAACATCAGACATGTCCATTTGCGTATGTTGTACCTGTCAGGCTAAGCAATACATTAACAAATTACGTCGAAGGAGTTTCATCTCTGAACCTAAGTCTTACCTTTTGATACCCTTTAGTAAACGATATAATACAAACCAAATCCACAAATCATATGTAGCCTAGACTTTTCTCCTTTATGTTCTGTATAATTTCCATCACCTTAAACAAAATACCCTATTTAATGGGCCTTTTTAAAATCTTGCATTTATAAAATGCATTAGTTTAAATCATGTATTCCCTATGCAATGGGATATTATTTAGTTTATAAATGGATTAGAACTTAACTTGAAGTTAACATTTAATATTATATATAATATTAATATAGGCTATAAGTATATAAGTATGCTTGTATAGATTTTTTTTTTTTTTTTTACTAACACAACATTTTAGTTCAAACATCACGACAGTGGTGTGCACACTAGGCCACTATTGCAACAGCAAAATCCTACGAATTAACACGAACAACCAGTGAACCAAAGATGATGAGAATAATGTCAGCTATATATACTCATACCAAATTTGTTGCAGCCTAAATGTAAACTTAAACCTAAAATAAATAAATTCATAATTTGTTCAGATTTATCAAATTCATGCCAAGCTCCAACTTATAGGTTATGGAAACCCGTGACGTCTCCATCTACTGGTGAAGGACGTAAATGTAGCTCCTCCAAGTGCCTACATTATTTACACCTCTGCTTGCACTGGGACTGTGTGGGTATGTAGCCTATGTTAAAATGTTATTTGGCTTGTTTGTTTATAGCCCTATCTGTGTATATGAGTGTGTGCGCGCGCATTTACGCAACTTCTCTAGCCTGTGTGGAAAAATATAAATAACTACCTTGGCGGCGTGTGCAGTGTGTAATCTGTTCCCGGCAGGCTGGATTCCCACTGTGAGAAAGACAGTATATTGTTCCTGCAGCGGCGCAGATAACAACTCATTAGCATACTGAATCATTTGGCTGCAAGAGGCACTCTGCCACCCATCTGCACGGCACTGATAAACACGCACACTCGCGCATCCACACATACAAACAGCGCTGGCTTTACGCGCTCCTTCCCTTTTCAAAACCTCATATACCCCGCCTGTATCCCTCTTCGTTTTGTGAGCCTGTCTTTTTTGGAGGAGGCGCAGGTAAATGTTTGGCAGGCATTAACCCAGAGAGGTCCTTCAGTGGAGCCAGGTCCCCGAACACCTGGATGTCTCTGATGCTCCCTGGAAGCAATTATAGTTTTTAGAAATGTCCAAGAGCTGCTGGCGCTGAAAATGTAACAGTGGGAAATAAGGGCTGCGACTGGGAAAGTTAGGAAAGAGTTGGCTTTTTCAAATGGCAAAGCTACAAAAACACACCTAATTCCCGCTAACTTTTCGATTGCATAAGCAAATAAATTGGCTGTTGCAATATGTACAGACACAACCCCGCGCAAATGAGCGCAGAGGAGGCTGTCCAAACTACTTTCACAATGGCAGGATATCCTGTGGGTCAGCAAGCCAGCATAAACTCCCCAGGAAGTTGTCACTTGTTAGAGGGAAGTAGTAGGATTCCATTCTACATAGCTGTAGATTTTATAAGAAAAAACGTACAGGCTGGATTTTATAAGGACACTAGCTTTACAAATATGTGATCAGATGCCGATATAAACCTGTTGGTATATTATTGTATAGTCAGGACTCAGGAAATGTAGGCCTATCCCACCAGTCGCTATCAGTGGCATAAAATAAAGTCTAATAACTTAAAGTGTAAAACCCACAGTAGTAGCCTGCTTATATAAACAGAGGAAGATGATGGATGCAACATTCTACTGTTAATAGTTATTCCCAGTCAGATATGAGGATGCTGTTACTTTGACTTGAATTTTCCACAATAATGCATATAAACCCTATTTTATATTTATGTAATTACAAATGTTTTATTACCAAAAATAGTGCATTGAAAAAATACTCACAGTTAGCTTGAATCACAGATCTAACCTGTAATGTTGTCTGGTAGCGTCCCTTGCTTGTCCAAATGGAGATATGTTTAATGCCATACTGTAGAACATTCCAGGCAATGCAACACTATTTTCTTGGATGCAAGCAGTTGGTGAAATTTACGTAGTGCCTTTTGAATATACAATGTGACAATTCCGAGTTTATTGCTCAGAATTTTTTGAATACACATTTAATATTCCTAAATATTGTAGGTGCAACTACTAGATTTGACACATATTAAATGACATTATTGCATGATACTTTTATGTGAAATGTATTTATTTAGCTTGAGTAAATGCAAAGGATATCCCACGTTGCAGCAGGTACACCTGTTCAGTGGCTCCAATCTCATGAACATGAGTTTACATGACTGACAACTACTGATGCTTATAGTGTATGTATGGTGACGCAGCTTTGTCAAACAACTTGAAAACCAATTTTAAAAATCTGCGTGGACTTGAAAAGTAATTTTGTTTTACTTCATAAGAAACATTTTCTGGTTCCATATATTTAAATTAATTTAAAAACTGCGCACAAACAATTTTCTCACTTTGTTTTATTTAGGATTTTTCATATAAAATTCCTCAGTGTGACATTGGATATATTTATAGATACATCTATACAACAAATATGTCTTTACCAAACGTACAATTTCCCTTTACTGCAGTTAACAAAATACCATAATTACCAAAGGTACCAATATAAGCTACAATGTCCTGCTGAGAAAGAAGCAGAACCAAACACAGCAAGCACTATGACTGTCCTTAGCAGAGAGATGCTGGTGTTACTGATATTAACACTGTGCATGTGAGAGCTACTGCAATTAAGGGATATTCCTGTGTACCATACTACACCACTAAAACCGTGTTACAGCTTTAAAAATACGCAAACATTCATATCAAAAGGACCTCATGAGCCATTTTATGATCTTGTGTGACCCAAAGACACACTGCATGTCAGGTACCTGCACAGCAAATTCATATCTTTCAGTTGGTTCATCATCACCAAAATGGTACCAAGTATGTTACAAAAATTAGACCTTACATTTTCATGCCATCAATCTATCAAATCCATTGACAAACACTACGCTGTTACCACACCAGTCACTGTTAGTACGTTTGTGCTATTTACAATACGCAACTGGGATTATGATCACTTCTTCAATCTTCTGAAACATGTACAGCATTTTGGAATTGGACTACATTGTAACCCCCATGTCAAATCTGCACATTGTTCGCCAAAATTGTTCCTTTTTTGGTTTTGTATTATTCATATATATATTTTGAATACTGTGTCTTTGGGCAGCAAATATAATAATCATCAACTGGTCAAAAAACATGCAGAATGTACAAGTCCTTCAATAGAACCAATACACTCACAAATGCAGTGCCATGCAAACTGTATCACTGCTTGAAAATGTGTTCAAAATCCACTGATGGCAAAATGTCTTTAAAGGTCCTGGGCAATTTCAACCTTTTATCATCCTTGCTAGATCGGGTTGAGTTTCGGAGACTGGTTGAAACATCGGATCATCGCCGGTTGGCCCCATCCAAGGCGCGTCCATTGCGTCTCAAATCTCTAGATGGCAGATGGATGGAGCGTTGAGCTGATATCGTCCTTGGAACTGGAGGCGAATCCTGATCCTCCACAAAGCTCTCCGGACTGCCCTCTCCGTCCCCATCGGGCAGACTTCCACAACTAGAACTGGGCGACATTGTTTCTAGAATATCGTCCCGGGCCAAACTCACCACTGTGTCCTGCCGTGGCCCTCCCTGTGGTGTCCTGTCATGAGCCCCCACCCCGACTAGAAGCCCAGTGTCCCCATCCGTAGTGCCTCCAAGATTCCTGCCGCCGTCCTGATCTTCCAGCAGGTTGGATAGGAAGCTAATATATTTCATAGCTAACCTTAAGATCTCATTCTTGCTCAGTTTCTTGTCTGGAGGATGCGTGGGGATGAGCTTTCGGAGCTCGGCAAATGCCCCGTTGACGTTCTGTTGCCGCCAGCGCTCTCGGCTGTTTGTGAATATGCGACGGACAATTTTGGGCTGGCCCGCTAAATGATGGAAGAACAGGAGAAGTTGGTCAAAATTGGGATTAATTACAAGTTTATAACACAATGACATCTATTGCGATAAGGTGATGTACTTGTTTAAATAAAGAATGGAATAGTAACAGTAAAGGGTAGATTTTAATACACACACTGACTTGAATCAAAATAAAACACAACAAGTACTTCAACATGACAGCTTCAGATTGTCCTCCATACAGTCGTGAACTTTGTTGGGTGAACAATTGCTAAGAGAACAAGTTTGTGTTTGAAGTGTATGTTGTGTAACTGTGTAATAGGATGGAAGAGAAATAGTCCCATGCCAAATCCTGGAAACCAGGGCTCCCTGATGGGGTGTGTGCATTTATTTTTTTTTTGGATTCATTTAAGGATGACAAAACGCCCTACTGCAGGTACTCTCATCCTCTCTAACCAATGTGTTCAGGCTATTGTTGCCCTTGGAACACACCCAGTGTATCTTAATCCTTCAGCCCACTCTGCAGTAAAACCTTGGCATAGAGGCAGCTGCACCCCCATCTTGCACCCCTATATGGCAGCGAGTGGGCAGTGAAAAAGAAGGAATACATTCCAAATAAAATAAACTGTCCAAAAATATGTTTCCTTTGAACACTAAATATTGCATGTATGTGAAACCATTTGTTGTTTTGAGTGTTTAGCTCATCCTGCTTTCTGCAGCTTCTCCTGCAGCACTCAGAGAGAGTATAGATCCATGTCAGTGGATGAATGACAATGGAGATGAGGAGGGGACTGTATTGGCAGAAGGAGGACACAGCAGAAGTGCGTCTTACCATACTTATAAAGATCTAAAATGCGCCTACCCTCGTCGAGTTCAACCTCATAAGGCGCCGGGCGGCGCTTTACCCTGTTGCTGGGGTACATGCTGTACTGCTCCGAGTCTCCTCCAAGACTGCAGTCCCATGCAAAAATCACATAAAACACAGGAGTGAGAGAAGTCAGCAAAAAAAAAAAAAAAAAAACTGTGACATGTCAGATTCTGAAACATAATATGAGTGGCACACAGTATATGGCCTCATTCTATTGTGTGAGTTATTTTGGCCAAGTTCTTTAATATATTAAATATATTGCCAAGTCATTTCACATGTTAATAAAGTTTTATCACAGACCTACACATGATTCATCCATTCATCACGCTCAAGTTGCTTACCTGTTGATGGCGGCGAGAGGCTGTGCCAGGTTGTAGAGCATCGCCCGCGCCGGGACCGGGAACGCGTTTGGGCTCAGCTGGACCATTCGAGCGTCGTCTCGTTGTGGCGGCGGAAGTGGCAGCGGCGGAGGTCTACGAAGTTCTGTTATCGGCACCAAATGATTGTCAGTCCTGTGTTCAAGCGCTTTTATAGCGTCCCTCCTGGAGAGCTCGATCACCGGCACTTCCCTTTTCAGGTCAAGGGCGTTGTGAGAGGCAGTTTCCTTGGTAACGCCGTTAATGATGATGCTGATGCTGGTCCCGTTGCTCGACTTCTGCAGAGGAACGTCATCCGTCTCTTCCAGTGCCTTCATGCCCCCTCCTCCTTTACCCCTCTCCTCCTCCTCGCCCCCCTCATGCTCCCCCCTCGCCTCCTCGTGCTCCTCCTTACATCCATTCTGTCTCGAGAACTGGTCTTCCCGCTTTTCAGGACCGTGGACTGAGTCGGGACTCCCTGGACAAACCTCCGGCTGCCGTTTTTCCATCATTTTCACCGCGTCACCGCTCGCACCCTTCCTCGACAATCTGGACCATATTAAACCATTGTTATAATTTTTACACCTCTACTGCTGTTGTGCTTATTATCAGACAAATAGGGTAATAGTCTAGTACAAAAACATTAAAGGATACAGGCCTAAGCAATATGTAGCTTAGTTTTGTGATTTTCTTTTGACTTTCATTGTGATTTTCTTTTGACTTTCTTTGTGTTTAAATTATTGGCTAGATACTGCAATATGTGATAGGCTTTGTGCGAACATTTAGCTAAATTATGATTATAGGCTATATGATTATTTTTAGATATCTTGTTAGACTAATAAACTATTCACTATGTTGCTTGGACGTATGGGAAAATGCGTTGGCTTTAAACAAAATGCACATTATTTGTGTGTATTTGCGGCAGTATAAAGACGTTGTAACTGATTGATTACAATGCGTTTTTTCTTTTAATTTTCTTGCTTTTTCTCTACAAACCCCTTATTTGCCTTCAGCTTCTCATTTCCTAATAGCCAAACGTGGTCATCCCAATAACCTATTTTAAAATCCACATTGCATCAAAAATAAAATTAAATAAGCCAACCTACAATCACTGAAAGACACAGACAATATAGAACAATTCAAAACGATTAGTGCAGGGGATTCGTTTCGCTTTGGGCAACCACACAGCCAACGAGACGCGCACAAATTAGGGGACAGACAATTTCTAGCATAGAACAAAATATAATGTTTTAATCGAAGTGAAGGCCATGAGCAAAAACCACACAAAATATCACTTATTTTAGCCACGAAACGTTTGCGATAACACCGCGATTTTAGTAACCTTTAACTGTTTCAAACGTATGGTAATTTAATGTGAAAAATAAACCCTAATCAAGAGCAATGCCTGAATTCCCGAACAGGCCTCTAGCACTTTATGTCCGACCACAGCATCCAATCGAAGAAAAACGCTCAGTAATTAAAATATATCCATTACGCACAAAATACCGATCGCCAACCCCAGGTAAGTAGCCCTAACGATTATTATAAGGTGCATATTTGGAGAACTCACCGCCAGCGCCGTGTTGTTGATGTCAGTGTGGAAGTGGAGCCATTTTGTGAGTGGGTCATCCATGTCTGCGCTTTTTCTTTTTTTCCGCGAGTTCTCCCTGTGTGAATGTATGTGTATGTGTGTGCGTAATGGTGAGTTATTCCTCTCTTCATCCTCGTGCACGCGCACGCTCCCTCAATGTGGGGAGCAGCGGAACACAGGCCGCAATGTGGCCGAGTGAGATAAGCGCACGGCAGCGGCCTCTTCATTCCCGATAAGCTCCTAAACCCATTATTTATGAAATGATTCATTATTATTTGGCTGTCGTTGGCTATATAGGCTTGTGGAGGGCAAAGCATAAAAAAGGAAAAACAGCCACGGAGCAACGGCCTGTAACAACTAGGATACTGTAGCCTGTGAGCTGCAATAGTGGCGTTTTAATTTTGATGAGAGAAACAAAAGCTAGGGTTAAGCTTTTGACCTGTTTATTCTTAACAAAAGATTCCCTTTAATCCTAGGATAAGATAATAAAGGTGGAATGTCTTTTATTGGCATAATTTAAGGAATAGTAACTTAACCAAGAATCCATTAATGCCTTAAGGCTGGCGTGTTAACAATAGATCACACAAACGATGCGCTTCTAATTATGATAAGCGCGCATTAATTGAAAGGACAGCGATTATTTATGAAACAAAATTGACGATAAATAGATACACCAGTGGTCTGTTCGCGAGGATAGTTTTGTGTTATGGGGGTCCCCGGGTCCACGGGGAGTCATGGGCGCCTGAGATAAAAAGCGTATCGGCTTCTGTTGTATCAGATAATAGCGAAGCTTCAACGAACACGCGCTATCAGTGCACGCGCAGGGATGAGCAGGTACGGCCCATTAACGACAAAACGTCCGTCCGCGTGTTCACAGTAAATGGGTCATTTGACACTTTTGGTAAAACACCTATAATATTTGATATATTTTGAGCTGCTCTGTTGCGCACAACCTGCACCAGAACCAACAGTCACGACCTTCATCCCACTTCCTGTGATCGGCTGTAAACATGTTTATTCAGCCAGTGCTTTGATCCACCTGGGACCGTGTGGGGAAAATGACAACTTTTGTTGGATGGAAAAATAACACACCTGTTAAATTATTTAAAATTATACCCATGATTTGTTCTGTTGATATTTTTTTTATAAAGTTAATGCAAAATTTGTTAAAAAAAAAAAAAAAAAAAAAAAAAAAAAAGTCAGTTTTGTCTTTAAAATGAAAAGATTAAATGTAATCATAAATGTTCCAAAGTAGTTTTTATTAAAATATTACAGGTGCAATTAACATGTTTTAATCACATTTACAAATACCAGACTGTAAAGTTTGACATTTTTTGTAACCTTTTTTTGAAAACATGTTACAGTTTATTACCTAATCTCAAATAAGAGAATGTACCATCAATAAACAAAATATACAGTATTTCAGTATTAAAATATATACACATTCCAGTATTATTCCACAGTTTAATTTCACAACAGTATAAAACTAAATATTGCTCCTGTTTCTGAGAGTTGCCGTGCATATTTATATTTAACTGTCACTGGCAACAGCCTGCAACTCCAGTCTCACATCCATAGGAGGTTTTACGTGCCTCTGTCCCTTTATCGTGGGCTGTGTCGGGCTGGCATGATCCGCAGAGAGGCTGTGCTGTCCCGGGTCATGAGCCTGGTGACCTGATCCAGAGCCAGACCGGCCACTGCCTCTCCATTCACCTGCAGGATCTCATCCCCTACCCCCAGGAGGCCCATGTACAAGCCCTCTCCACTGCCATCGCCCACCTTCTCCACATACACACCTGAGACAACAGGCCAACAACAGTGTGAGTTTACAGAGTTTACAGACACTTTACAGAGGACAAATGTGGGAAAACAGACAAATGATGAAAATAAAGTGTACAAACAATACATTTATGCAAAATGTTTGGTTGATATTTGTTACAATTAAAGACTGTACAATATAAAATTTCCCATCTGTCACTACAATTCACTGCAATTAATAACTTAAAAATGCAATAGCAAAACATAAAACTTTAATAATAAGTGTTGCGCAAATCTCAGAAATATTTAACACAATATTTATGATGGTATATTTAGCAAACTTTTCACACACAAATGAGAAAATATTTGGCATTGTGATTGCCACCAGAGTTAAACAATGTCTGTATGGTTCAAAAAAGCAAGCTTGAAATAAGCAAACACGATCACTGCAGAAGAATCTGTGTACCACCAGTATGGCACTTGTACCACAGTTTGAGAAACACTGCAATTAGTAAGAGAAATGATGGCAATTGGTGACATAACACAGTAATAATCATCACAAATACATTTTGTTTCTATATTTAATGATTTATTGTTATTACATACCTAATTGATCCGGAAAATCTTATGTCACCTTTTTTATGTTGCCAAAGACAAATAAAGATTTAAACTGCATCTCCAGGGTTCATGTATGCTGATGAGTGAATAAAAGTGTGTTTATGAGAGAGAATGCAGGATAACAAATGTAAAGTAGCACATGGCTTCTGGCATGTTTACAGCATGTATCTCGTGTATGTTTGTTAACATTCACTGTCTCCACCAAATACACAAATAACATGAAAAATAATAATTAAATAACCTGTATCTGGACGCCCTTTGCCTCTCGATATGACAAATCCAAAAGGACCATTGGGGGGTTTAGTGAGTTCCAAGAGGAGTGTCCCATCAGGGAAGGCCTGGGTGACCCTGCCCACGGGACGCCCCATCCTGGACACAAGGACGTTCTCCACACTCAGGGCCCGGTGAAGCGCCAACTGAGGGCTTTCAGGACTGCAACATAAAACAATGCTTTGCAAAACCTTTTCCTGTTTATTTGGACTTAATCTGAATGTTTAGTTCTTTACCTTGGAGCCAGGCCATATGGTATCTGCACCTCCCCCAGAATGGTAGAGCGCTCTGTCCTTCTCTCCAAGCTCTGTACAGAGGAGGCTTTGCGCAGCTGTGCCAATGGGAACACCTAGTGGCAGAAGAGGGAACTGTTACTGATCCATTTTAATTATCAGTAGCCATTGATAATTGCAACTATTCCTATTACTGCAGCACAGCACCTGCATTAGAGTGAAAAAACTTCAACAAATTTCAATTTTCCTTCTGACTTATGTGATTCCACCACAGCTTTTTATTTAAATCAAGAGAAAACATTTTAAGACTGAAATTACACAAAAGTGTAGAAAAATATGTCCTAACTTTGGAATAATTACAAAAAGAAGAGTGTAAAGAGGATGAAGCTGCAAAGGCCTATAATGAATTATTTGAGCTCAGTGACAGCCAGTGATGCTGTTACTTCAAAGCCTTGCATGATCCACTGTGGCAAACAACTTGTGAAAGGCTTCTCAAAGCCAAACTGGGAGACGTGTCATGATTTGAGCCTTGTGAGCCTTACACATGAAGGTAGAGGCTGGGGATGAATCACGTTTAAAGCGTAACTCACTGTGTGGAGGGTTTGCAGGGAGGGGGTTCTCTGGATGCGGATGGAGGGTTGGGGTCTCCGCGTGGGGCTGGGGGAGGCAGAGCTGGCTCGAGGGGCAGGAGGAAGGCTCAGCTGCTCCATGCTGCTGGAGCGAGACCCCTTCACCAGTCTTCCCACGCTGTTCAAACCAATGGAGGAGAAGAAACGACGAAGGAACAGTTTTGGACGTCCATCCAGCTTTCTGTGTGAGAAACACTTATAGTAACACACTTACACTACATTGAGCTTACAACCTCTAAGACAATACACGTTTGAAATCACAGCCAGGTATTTGTAAACACTTGTTTGTAATCAGGAAAGTCCTACATAATGTAACGTAGTACTTGAAATTGCAGTGACTACTGGAGGTAGCTCAGCTTTTTTTTTTTTTTTTTTTTTTTTTTCACAAAGCAGCAAAATATACCCAGATCGCACTAATATTCCAAAAAAGGACTAGGAACAGTAGACAATACTACACTGTTCAAAAAAACAAGCACTTTGAAAACACATCAGATCTGAATGTGACTAAAAAAAGTTATCTATACAAATATGGACAGGGCAATGTCTTCATAAACAAAAGGATACCACCTCTTTTAAATTTTCAGCCTACAGAGGGCTTAAATTTCTAGACACCCTGAAACTCAAAGTGAAATAATGATGTGGCAGGCTAGTCCATTTTTGACAAAACTTATTTTCTGCAACTCAAAATGCATCTCAGTATTTTGTAAACCCCCCCATGTACTTGTATGCATGTTTGACAACATCGTGGTATGCTCCTAATGAGACAGATGGCGTCTTGTTGAATGTTCTCCCAGATCTGTGTAAGGACATCACTGAGCTCCTGTAGAGTCTGAGGAGCAACCTGGCAGCGTCTGATGGATCCAAAACATAATGTCCCAGAAGTGTTCTATCGGCTTTAAGTCAGGTGATTGTGACGGTCATTCAACTGTATCAATCCCTTGATTTCAGGACCTACTGCACCAGCGTAGGGTGTGCGTTTTTAGCCGGTAGAGGTCTGTGTATCCCTCTATGGCTATGCCTCCTCAGACCATCACTGACTCACCACCAAACCGCTCATGTTGAACAATGTTGCAGTTCTCCTTGTTTTCTCCAAGCTCTTTCACATCTATCACAGGTGCTCAGGGTAAACCTGCTCTCACCTTTGAAAAGCACAGGGCACCACTGTTGGACTTGCCAATTCTGGTGTTGTCCAGCAAATGCCAATGGGGCTCCATGGTGCTGGGCTGTGGGCACAAGGCCCACTACAGGACGTGGCACCCTCAAGCTACCCTCATGAAGCCTGTTTCTGATTGTTGGAGCAGAGACATTTACACCAGTGGCCTGCTGGAGGTCATTCTGTAGGGCATGGGCAGTCTCAGCCTGTTCCTCCTTGCATAAAAGTGCAGATATGGGTCCTGCTTATGGGTTGAGGACCTTCTACGGCCCTATCCAGCTCTCCTAGTGTAACTGCCTGATGTGCTTTCCTTTAGTGTCCTTTAAGTGTTCCTTTAATTTTTCTGAGAAGTCTATTAAAACACCACATACACCGTTCAGTAGAAAAAAGTTGAATAAGTGATCACTTCCATTTTAAAATACTATATTATGCAAAATTGAGTACCCGGTTTCCAGCAGCCACCATGTCATTTTAATTTTCCTGTTAATTTTCCCTGATAAATCAAAATATGAGATGGGATCCTTTTTGTTTTGTGTATCTGTTCTTGTTAAGAATTGAGCCAGTCTTGACATATATGTAATTGTCTGGATCTATAGCGAAAGAAATTCAATTCTGTCAACTAGACAAACATTTTTGAGTGAAGACATTTTGCAGCTCCAAGAAGAAGCCACTTGAATGAGCTGCAAAATGTCTGCACTCTAACATCTTTTGTCTAGCTAACAGAATATATTTTTTCTATGTTTTTGGGATAATTTCTTCAGATTCAAATGACTGTATTAATGCTACCATGGGCAATTAGTTTGGTTTCATTGCACTTTACATGCTGTAGCTTTAATACTAATAATTGTGTCATGCAATTAAACCAATGAGCAATATCCTTTTAGTCATAGTTATTTTTTTTTTTTTCAGAAAAACTAAAATACATCAGTTTGGACATCAGCTATTAAATTTGTTTACTTATTTGTTTGTGCTTGTGTATCACCGTCTGTCCAGAAGAGGGCAGCATTTTCAAGCCATAGCATTGTATTTTGACAATGGTTTTTGACCAATCATATAATAGCCTTTCATAGAGTCTCCCTGGTCAGGTTCATATTTTGAAACAGCAGTAATGGGGATAAGGGATTTATTTTCTCAGCCACAGCAATAGTTTTGTGATGATTCCTCACCTCGAGCCGTCTGGGTTGTCCTCCCACACGGCTTCTGCTTTCAGATGTTCTGCCCTCAACAGCTCTGCCCTCAGGTCATCTGAGCGGGACAGGGCCACGCTGCGCAGGATGGGCCGACCCTCTGAACTCCCTCCACCTTCCACACTCAAGCCTGCTGGGACAAAAGAGCAGTATCTAAAACTAATGCTTGTTGATTGTGCACTCATCTTTTCATATTTTTTTCATTATTGTGCAGCAAATTTCATATAGTTTATACAGATTATCTCATGAATTCAGATAATAATAATATGAGACACACTAAGCACCACTTAACTGCAAATGTACCATCCTGAAAAATATATATTTAAAGTTAAAATGTAAATGTAGTTAAAATGTATTTTTGGTAGTTCAAAACAGTACAGGCTTAATTGTCTTTTCCATTAAGCAAGCCATGTATGTCAGATTGTATTTTGGAAACATAATGCTCTTGTCTAAAGTCAAAATTGTGTTTGCTCAATTATCCAAAGTACTGCAAAATACAAAAACAAATATTTAAATATAAGCCCTTAATCTGTGCAATGGCAACTCACCCGGCCCATCTGAAGCAGAGTCCCAGTGGTCAGCAGCTGGCAGGTCAGAGGTCAGTCGGGCTGGAGAGTACCTCAGAGTGGATGGTCGGATGCAGGAGACAGGGCTGCCGGTACTAGCAGCTGATTGGTTTAAAGCCACTGGACTCGACTCTCTTCTCACTTCTGACTGGTCGTGCTCTGTGTCCCCCTCCACACCTGCACTGGACCCATCTTGAAACTGTACCATCTGGTTTGGACTTGCACGATTCCTTGAGCTGGATTTAAGCGCTGATTTGATTGGCAGTGGAGGACCTGTTGATTCCTTTGTTGCACTAGACGCTTCTAGCAAACGCGGTTCTAGTGCAATTGGGCTTCCGGGGGCAAAAGTCACCCCCCTGGGCAGGTTGACCCTGTTTCTTGGATTTGAGTTGCGTCTTTGAGCCCAGGATGGACCATATGGACCATGACCAGACTCTATTCTGCTCTCCCCTTTCCTGCTCCTCCTCCTGAGTTTTCCAAATCCTGAAGACTTCCATCCCGAGCTGACTTCCTTGTCTTCACCCAGAACATAGGCTCCAGCGAAAGTGACTGTGAGTGGAGCTTTAGGACGTGTGCTAACTGGTTTCAAGGCCTGCTTAGGTCTTGGATCTTCAGCAGAAGTTAATTGTTCTAGGTCAGTATTTTGTGGTTCAGATGGAGAAGTAACAGCCTGCGTTTCCCTGGCGATAGACCCACATGCTTCACACTTTTTCACCACTACAATGATTTCCCGCACCACAGTTTGGGTTTCAACACTAACAAGAGTAGGAGGCATGGACACGCTTCTTTGGTTCTTACCACTGCTAGCATCCTGGTTGTTTTCTCTGTTCTTAGGTCTGCCACGTTGTCTCACCCTGTCCATATATCGAGACTGTGCTTCTTTCTCAGATTCATCCTCAAAGCGCACTCGGGTTGGGGAACATCCATAGCGCCTGGTGCGACCTGCCTGCTCCGAGGGGGACGTGTCTCGGTGCTCTGGGGCAACGAGCGGGAGACAGACACTTGGAGGGGAGATTTCCTCTTTGGTCTGGACAGCTTTCTGCACCCGTGTTGGACTGTCAGAATCAAACTGTTGTTTCTTACTGCAAATAAAAACAAGAAAGATGAGTAGATGGCAATCACATGCTAGAATATGAAGACTTAATTTCAGATGGAGGCAGGGGTTCATGGAATTTAGAGTGATGAAAATCTAGCATTGTTGCCAATAAATAACCATTCAAAACTAATTATATCTTTTGAGTAAAAATCTTCAAAATATAAACATTAAGAGGAAACTCATTGTATGGGAGATTTACTGTTTTTAGAAGCAGCATTAAAATTTATGGTCCACAAAGTATAATTAATGGACATGGATGACTATGGCAGGTATTAATAACATTTTAGTAGTAAGATTTTATTGAAGCAATCCTTGTAACTTTCTGAAGTTGGCAGATTACCTGTATGATTCCGTGCATATAAAGTTAAAACCATTCTTCAGAGCATTCTCTTTAGCTAGATATGAGTTTTATGTCATACTGTGGAATATTGTAGCCTAAGGGACAATATTTCCATGGAAACAAACAGGAGTATCAGTATCAGGTTTGTCAGGTTTGTGGAGATGCATGTCATGAGTGGAACATACTCCAAACCTGTTCATAATGTTGGGTCATAATGCTATGGCTGATTGGCGCTAATATAATCTTACATGACATCACTCTGATCAGTTTCTCCTCGTCTGCTGACTCGATCGCCTTTCATGTGATTGGACCGTGCCTTCAGCCTTGCTCTCTCCAAAAGACGCTTGGCTTGTTCATGTCTTGGACTCAGAGGAAGTTCATCAGTTATTACAAGAACTGACCTAAATTTGAACAAAAAAGAATAGATTATATACTTTTTGCTATTTAGGTTGACAGTGGTTTGATTAAAATCTGTAGTTATACAACTGTCTAAATGTATTGGGAGTTGATGGCGTACCATGGTGGCGACATATAACAGCTAATGGTCTATCTATGGGTTTGCACCAGAGCTAAGCTGCTCAGCATTGTGCTTCAGCGTCTGTCTTTATCCCATAGCCAGTGATAAAGATAGCATGATACACCAACCATGTGAGTAAGCCTCATAATGGGCTGAGTATAATTTATTCTCTAGGGGCGTGTGAAAAGCAAACTATATTTGATAAAACTACACTGCATGAGCTTAAGATAAGAGACCTGAGTAACACATTTAGCATAATAACTTTTTTTCTTTCAAAGCACCTTATGTAACACTATGTAATTATGCAAAATAATGCAACATTGTTAGAGCAATGCTTCTTCAATCCCTGTGCCTCGTTGCAATGTTTGTTTTGATCTTCTGCACAAGGCGGCCTGTTTGTGCTCTCAATAGATTTGCTTCTACTTCCTCAACGCCCACAGTGGCAAAGTAGAATTTATGAGACAAGGGTATAAATAGTGCATAGGGGTTGTATGTCACCAGTTGTGCCAGCAGGATAAAAGTGCAGGGTCACTTACCTCAAATAAAATTCCTGAGGAAGAATGGCTGAGTCTGTGCAGTCCAAAAGCCCTGAGACATCTGAGTGACATAAGCAGAGAGAAGAGGTGCGAGCAAAGGTCATCATACATTTAGACTGTATATTACTCAGCATATTGAAAATAAGCAATAAAAAGTCTGTAAAATGTCTGCAATTTAATTCTCTTTAATTTTCTTTTGCTTTTATATTGTGTTTTTCAAATGTGAAAATGAAAAATACATTTACAAGACATTATTTGAAGTTACAGTTAATCTGGAAATAGTGGCATTTTCAATTGTTTTGTTTTTTGTTGCTACTTTGTGTAGATTTGATTTAATGACTATAGTAATATGTTGGTATGAAGTAGATTTATGCACCGTTATAATCACCATTTGACTAAGCTATGTAAAATAAATGCAACACTTTGTGGCAAAGACCTCATCTGTCACCTACCAACAAGTAGAATGTCTGTTAAGTGCACTAAAACACAAAAACTGGGACTATTCCCCTAGAGCTCAGGCTGCTAATATTAGCAACACCCTTCTGCACATCTGCACAGCTGACATCTGTTCAGCATGGGAACCTGCCAGGTTTGCACTCATAGACATGGGGAGACAAGCTTAGCTCAATCTGCAACAGCTGGGATCTTTTTAACAAGGCACATTTTCCATGTATAAAGAAATTTCATTGTTAAATGATAAGGATAATGAATTAATAATAATTCAATTACTACTGAAAGTAATTTTAACTGTTTTCAAATTTCATATTTTTAATAAAAATGGTTATTGATAATAATGTGATTATTTTTGGTATGGTGTTTTATGCCTACGAAAGTCAAAAAGATCACAATTTCATTTGAGAATATAAAGCAATTTAAATTTTGTGTAAAAGTTATTGGGGTCACAGAAGGGTTACCTCATACTTGGTTATTTTAAAGACAATACAGTGATGTAATGGTTATTATATTGTCTTTAAATATTTTTCAAAGGTGTCATCATAGTTCAGTTAGTATGAAAACAAAATGCATGCAAACCAGATGTTGTACTTTTCATATCACCTGTGTCTTCAGGTTGATCTGCACTTTCTCCACTCATCTCCTTTGCTACTTTGCGACTCTGTTGTCTTTCTCTTAAATTTGCATAAGCTGTTTGTTTGACTACAGGTGTATCATCAGATGGAAAAGAAGCACTTTGTGAGGCTATGTTCACATTATCAGATGAACACAGTCCTTTGGTCTCCAGCTCCTTCTGCTCGCACTTCTCCAGGAAGCACTGCATACTATCTGAGTGCTTAATCCCAGCAGGGATGTCCGCATCATCTACTGCAACTCCCACATTCTCACATTTTCTGTCTGTTTTGGCATATTCCTTGCATTTTTCAATCTTAGTGTAATCCATTATGGGTAAAGCTGAGGGACCAACTCCATTTAGAAGCAGTGTTTCTGGACGTGCTATCCTCCAAAAACCTTTAGGGGGAGCCCAATGTCTTGTGGATGCAGAAAAGGTTGAGGACATATTAGTACTTGAAGTTTTTGAGACAGAAGGTGCAGCTGGTAGAGATTCTTTTGAATTTTCATTATTGATGTTGTTGGACAAAAGACTTTCCAAACTTTTAGTTTTTGAGATATTTTGTACTATTTCTGGTGATGCCTCTTGTGCTCCTTGGGACAGCATCTGTGTTTCAGCAGGTGGACTATGGATCTCCAACTTAACTTCAACCTCAACCTCCTGATCCTCATCACTTGTACTCAAATTCCTAGTAGTTCTAGAGCGCCACGGTGGAACAGTTATGGGTGTCAGGTTCTGTCCCTTCTCCTTTGGTCTTAGATAGATTTCTGGTGCAATGCCACATATACCGTCTTCATGAGTGACCAAATTTGATCTCTCTTTGTCCTTGTCCCTCCCTCTTTGCCGACGCTGTCCAAAAGTCTTCAGTTTGGTTTGCAACGAATGCACAGCTGAATCCTGAGACAGGATAGAAGAAGAACTGGTGAAGATGGGCTCACGGACTGGACCAGTTACAAGATTCCAGTTAATCGGCAACCCTGTAGGTGGAGATGAGCTGTTCTTTTCTTTTACTGGAACCTTATCCACACCAGCTTCTCCCTCCATTGGCTATAAACAAAAAGAAAGAACACTAAATTTTCAAAGACTAGATCTTACATCTCATTTGCTTTGCCTGGCATGTATGTAGTGTGGATTCAGTCACGTTGCCTTATCCCCTGATTACTTTGCAGTGCAAAGGATAATCCTTTCGGATGAGAATAAGCAACTGCTGCCTGCTACTGAACCATTCCTCAAATAAACTATATTGCTTTTGATCCGTCAGAAAACTGACTCTAATTTTTTCAACAGTTTACACCAACTTTATTTTGATAGCCTAGATTTAAGGATTAGGCCTATCTTTAAAATGCACGAGGAAAATAACTTTCCATACATAAAAATGCATGGAAATGCGTAGCATACCTGGATGTTGCTTCAGAGATTGATGGCTGTCCTTTAAAAGACAATCTCACTCTGTCCAAGAATTCATCACAAAAAACGAAGATGCCCCGATTTAAGTTGACCTGCTCTGGCAAAACCGCCATCCGAATGGATCGATCACAAGTAAAAACAATCCTCCTGCTAAGTAAGTGCCGTGGTGCTGATGTTGTGATTTCGCACACCGCTCACGGGAGGCGGTACGAAGAGTGTGGGACGATCCAGCACTCTCTCAATCATGATTGGTCCGGTAATCCCTTCAGAAATCAGTAGGATTAGAAAAAAAATGGAATACAAAAACGCATGCTTAATTTCGTCCTTGCTTAGTGAATTCACTCGGAAGAATCTCTGTTGTCTTTTCTCAAACGCGCACACAGCTGGTTGCCAGAGCGCAAAGAAAGTAGGCTGTAGTGTACAGCCTGGACTGTGACGCGGAATGAACATGAGGGCTAGCCTACAAGCTTTCACTTGCCCATTAACTACATTGTTATTTAACCTTTTTTGATAAACACAGCAATCTACAAAACTTCACAGCATACTTACAGTTTTTGGCATTAAACGTTGGCAAGCTTTTTGACCAAGTCTGCAGAACCGTTTCCTTTGCATTATTTGTTCCTTTTCTTATGGTCCAAGGCAAGAGGGATGATCTGACGAATGCTTTTTTGCCGTAGCGTTATTTGACAATGGGAAAATCTTTTGGACATCTGCCATCTGCATATGTTATGTATTTTCACTTTTGCTTTGCAGGACTTTTGCCAAAATTCAAAGGTCTGTCTGCTCCATATGCCATGCTTCTTTGCAAACATTTGGATGCTGCGGGAAAGATAATAAAGCCATAAGCCTAATAGGTAAACAAAAAGGTATATTTACTTTTGAGAGCTATTCTTTTCAAATTTTTTCGGCGTGTCAGTCCTTTGCGGTCTTTGCTGATCATCACCTATGGGTGGCGCCCTTTTTATACGAAGCAACGCGCGCGCGCGCGCACGTACACGCACACACACACACCTACACGCACACATACACACACCCGCACAGAGCTAGCTGTAACCGGCTCTTGGGCTAGTGGTGCTGTGCTGTAGCTGTTGACACCCTCCCAAACCTCGGCAGCCGCAAAGCTGCTCAGTCGACATGGCAAGAAAATATCGCAATCTTCTCCCTAAAACGGATGAAAATCTTCCATATCGTTTGGAATGAGTAAGTACTGGTGATGCTCATTTCTGTGCCGAGAATACAACTTAAATCCATGTACATATTTTTGAATACCCAGATTAATGACGCAAAGCAATGGATTGTTGCTACTCATAGAAGCAAGCTAAGCTAAAATGCTAACTATTGGTTAGTGTTGGGAGGAGCCATGTCCGCTAGCGTTATATGTACCGTGTCGTATATGTTGTGTTTTATCTATGCTGCATATTTAGCTGAAAATAAAACCTTCAGGTGATCACATACGTGACAACATAACAGACTGAAGATATGTTCTGGAGTTGATAACTGGGGTGATCGGTGTTACATAATCTCAATATTGCAAATGGCTAACGTTAGATCTTCGATGTCACTGTGTTCGTCCCATTGCCAAAGCCCAAAGCCATTATTTAAACAGCAGGTATCATGATAACCTCCCTGCTTTATGTTCTTATGCACTTGGATACAGTGTAATGCTGTAGGAAGTCCTTTGTTGACATTTTAAAGCAAATAACATAACACATAGGCGACGAATACTTGATAGCCAACATATCAACTTAGCCACCCATAGCTTAGCATGCTAACGTTTCCAACCAGCTAGCGTTTGCAAAAGAGGCATTTGTGTAAATCTTCAAAATACCCTTTGTGGCATCGTACATGTTCATAGATAAGCTATGACAATGGTATGTGTTTCTGCACGATGAAAACACTATTTAACTCCAAAGTAATGTCAAATTGCAAGTACTTAAAGCGCAAAAGGACTTGGCTGTTAGCCTGCTGAAGACCCTTTGTCCATAGTCGTAGTATCTGACTCTTTAAAGTAGGCCACAGTGGTTGTTTTGATCTTACTGGGTACCGTTATTAACATTTATTACAAAAAGGCAGAGTGTCAATGTTGCGTTGTAGTGGATAAAACAAGTTGATTCATTAGTCCGTAAATGCATCAACAAATGCATTTACGGAAAACGAATTAGCAGTTCACTCTGACCAGCAACGTTGAGGCTTTGGAAAGGAAATATCTTGGCAGCTCATGTTTTGAATTCTATTATTAACATGTAAAATTACCCTGCGTAACGTACATTCTATTACTAATTATGAAATATCCCATGCTTAGGCCGGTGATGAATATCAAAGTGAAGTGTTTTTAATAAGCTTATTAATGTTGTACTCCCATTTTGTGTTTTTCTTGTTACAGTATTCATCATGCAATGTAATCCAACATCCACAATGTGTGAGGACATTTAAGAACAATTGAGTTCGAAAGAAGAAATTTTGATTCCAGTGGAATCTTCCATATATAATTATTATATTATTATATATTTTCTGTGTTAAGATACATTTACACACACTTGTCCCATCATCATATAACCATGCCAGTGCAAGCACCTCAATGGACAGAGTTCCTGTTGTGCCCAATCTGCACACAGACATTTGAGGAGACTGTTCGACGGCCTATAAGCTTGGGCTGTGGACACACTGTCTGCAAGATGTGCCTGAACAAGTTGCACCGAAAGGCCTGTCCCTTTGACCAGACGGCCATCAGCACGGACATCGAGCAGTTACCTGTTAACACAGCCTTGTTGCAGCTGGTCGGAGGCCAGGTAGGACATCCTTCTATGTTGCTGTGATTTATTATTGTTTTTGCATTACAAAAGTTGTAACATGCTCAGTTCTCTTAGGTTTATAACGGAAAGTGACATTTGAAATGTTTTTTTTCTGCAGGTTCCTAAAGCTCAGCCTGTTGCGTTGATCACAAGTCCAGAAGATTCACAACATTATGAGGAAGCTAGACAGTGTGTGGAGGAGCTTGCTCTATACCTCAAACCTCTCAGCAATACTAGAGGTATTTACACACATACATTTGATCAGATGTTGGCAACTGTTTTCAGAAAATGAACAAATTAAGAAAGTTTAGTTTAGTTTAGTTAGTTTAGTGTAGTTTTATGTTATTATGGTGTAAAGAAGACATCATGCTTATTTCTGCTCTATACTTATAATGTATGACACTCACGGATCATTATGTTTTAATTTGGACATTTTGAAATTTCAATATTGATATAAAATTACATTACATACATTACTCAAATGTGCATGAATCATGCTAAATGTAACTTCAAGTAGGTACATGAAAAGGAGAAATGACTATAATATGGCTAAAAGTTTAATGCATGTGTTTTATAGTTTGCCAAAATAAACTTTGTTTTTCACAGGTGTAGGTCTGAGCAGCACTGCACAAAGCATTCTCAGTCGACCCATGCAAAGAAAACTGGTAACGCTGGTCCACTGTCAGCTGGTTGAGGAGGAGGGCCGTGTGAGGGCTATGAGAGCTGCCCGCAGTTTGGGTGAGAGAACAGTCACAGAACTGATTTTACAGCACCAAAATCCTCAGCAGCTCTCCTCCAACCTGTGGGCTGCTGTCCGTGCACGAGGATGCCAGTTTCTTGGTCCAGGTACACATTTTTTCCTTATTAATTTTCACTGTTATATTGTTAAAAATGTTGTTGATATTTTACAAATTATGTTTGTGTTTGTTTGCCTTCTAGCGATGCAGGAAGAGGCTCTAAAACTGGTTCTTCTAGCTTTAGAAGATGGCTCTGCACTATCCAGAAAAGTATTAGTTCTTTTTGTAGTCCAGAGGTTAGAACCCCGCTTTCCACAGGCATCAAAAACTAGCATAGGCCATGTGGTGCAGCTCCTCTACAGGGCATCCTGCTTCAAGGTAAGTAAAAATCCATTGCAGAGAAATGTTAAGTTTATCATAATGCATTACATTTTCCATTAAAGACAAAACAAACAAACAAAAAAAACTGTTTTCTATGTGGTTTTACAGGTGACAAAGCGTGATGAAGATTCGTCTCTAATGCAACTAAAGGAGGAGTTTCGTACGTATGAGGCTTTGAGGAGGGAACATGACTCTCAGATTGTTCAGATTGCTATGGAGGGTGGCCTACGCATTGCACCAGACCAGTGGTCTTCTTTGTTGTATGGAGATCAGTCTCATAAGTCACACATGCAGTCTATTATAGATAAGGTGTGTATGCCAGAAGGGACCTCTAAGTAGTTTATATTTTCCTATTTAAGTCTGATTTCCATCCTAAATCATGCATTTTCCTTGTAGCTGCAAACTCCTGCATCATTTGCTCAGAGTGTTCAAGAGCTGACAATAGCACTGCAGAGGACTGGTGACCCAGCTAATTTAAACAGGCTTCGACCCCACTTGGAACTACTGGCTAATATTGATCCCAGCCCTGGTAAGCACAATTAAATGGTCTTAGAAATTTGAAAATAAAAAAATGTATTTAATGTTTTTAAATTTGTCTTTTTTATTTTTACAGATGCTCCACCTCCCACCTGGGAACAACTAGAGAAGGGATTGGTTGCAGTAAAGACAGTTGTTCATGGTCTGGTGGATTTCATTCAGAATCACAGCAAGAAAGGAGCAGACCCTCAACAGGTTTGCACAAATCCATACACAGAAGTTTTTAAAAACACAATTGAACCATTGTTTATGGAGAGTATGATGTTCTCACAATAGTCATGGACGATGGGTCAGGATGACTCTTGTTTATGACGACATGGGTCAAATATCTATAGTGAACTATAATTCATTCTTAAATTCTTTTTTAGCCTCCTCAACACAGTAAGTATAAAACATACATGTGCCGCGACATGAAACAAAAGGGAGGATGTCCTCGTGGTGCAAGTTGCACCTTTGCTCATTCTCAGGAGGAACTAGAGAAGTAAGTAATGAACCGTGGGCACATCCTTTTATTTAATGTATATAAATAATAACACAGAATCTCCCACATTCATTTTATCCAGATATCGGAAAATGAATAAACGACTGGCAGCTCGCCTTCCTGGAAGTGGTGGGCTCATGCCAGAAGACGGCCTTCCCCTGGATGTAGCCGTGACTCGGAAGCCTTCGCCCCTCACCAACGGCAGTGGGGCACCTTCCCTTCCCCAGCTCATTGCCCGTGGCACTGATTCAGTTTCTTATGAACTGCTCCGCAAACCTGTAAAAATGGATGGAGGCAGTCCCAGTGCACCCGGATCACCACCTGATGGGTAAGTTAACCAAACTTTGTAGGTCATTCAGGACAGTTTTTTTTTTTCCCCTTTTAATCTGACCACCAACATTGATGTAGTAGAGCATATTAGTAGTTGGCACAGGAGCAATACTCTACTTCAGATTCAAATTTTTAGTATTGTTAAGTATCTAACAATCAATATTTAGGTATTTGGTATTTGACACTTTCTGGCCAAAGCTTGTCAAAGTCTGATCTAGTCAGATATGAGAAGCTAAGCACAGTTAGCCCTGGTTAGTACTTGGATAGGAGTCTGCTGGGAATACCAGGTGGTAAAATCTGTTGTTGTGTCCATAGGCAAGGCATTTCAGCCACATTCCCAAATAGGAATGTGATGTGTGAGCACGTGTTGGTGATAGAATGAATAATA